CCCACAAGGCCAACACCCCGCCTCACACTCTGAGGCATACACCCCTCAGGCCACTCGTGAGCTAGCCGCCTCACATTGTATCATAGAGAGGGCCTCACCTGTCACTCCCCTTCCTATTTTCTGGTTACTGTCACTGAGAGGCCAACATCCTGCCACAACATTCGGTGACCACAAAAAATCCCCTCGCGCCAAGCATAGATAGAGCCTCTCAAGCCACTTGGCAACTAGCAGGGCCTCACCAGTCACCAAAAAAACACCAAGCCTAATCGTTTCGCCTTACGGCTTAGCTAGCAAGCCGGTACAAGACCCCTGGGTACAAATAATAATTGCAATCTTTGTTATTTAAGTATTTCTCAAAAAGATGGTGAAGAATCTCCTCTTCCTGGCACCCCGGCTAGAAGTGATACACCTTTAAGCAGAGGAGATGTGGCTCCGACCTAAGGAGGCGACAAATCCCCTACCCTGCCACAGCCAAGAAAGCAGAGTTATTCAAACTCCTCCATACATCAACGGACAACACGGAGGCAGGGGAAGGCCCAGCAACACCAACTCAGGTGACACCCAGGCCATGCTAGCCTCACTCAAACTCATGAGCCAAAAAATTTATGACAGACTGGCAATCTCGAGTCGGTCACAGCCCTCACAAGGCTGGGCCTCATGCTACTGTACAACCAGCACCAACCGAAACTCGGTTACCTGGTACAATCAATTCTTGGTACAAGACGTTAACCCTGCACATATGATCCCGGCACAGTGGGGAAACAAGGCATAAATATGTATGATGATGTATCTATGATGGTCAGACCCAGGGATTCTAGGTAAATCGGGATCTGACCATCCCTTGGTTGTGTTGGCATTTGGAATATGTAGAGATGCTTATTTGTGCAGGTACCCATACAGAAGGGATTTTCTCCCAAACAAACGGACGAGCACTCTCAGGCTCCAGGTACCAGCACCTCTGAACTACCAGAGACAATTGGTATTAGTAGTTGCATTGCATATAGACTGTTGCATATATGTTCAAATCATTCAGCGCACATGACAAACCATGTGTCCCAATACAACTTACAAATAACGTACTCACCATCTGTACACACCAATGCATTTTCAACACTACTGACTCATCACCCTTCCATACTTGTAGTAGATTTACTAAGGCTCTGGAGCTTCAAAGGGCTCCCCCATACAGGTATCATAATAAACATTCAAGGAATATAGCATGCCCTCACTTACAGTCAGCACAACAGAACCGTCGGCTGTAAACACACTCATAGCCAAGATTTGCAGAGGGGTTTTTACTTGGGTTTTCCAATCTCCACCATTTACAGCATGGCACCAAACACAAACACATTGGTATTGTCACAAGGGAAACTTCCCTTAAACAAAGACTAACCATAGACTTATTGGCACCACACACCTTCGCTACCCCAAGTCTCAACTCCCTCATACCCTCCGAGGAGTTTCCTTACTATACACACCATTGATCTACCCTTACAGCTATCACTCAAGCATGGGTTGAAGCTTCGTTAAGTAAAACCAATATCATCAACACAGTAAACAGCTACCATCTACCCTACAAACTGGCACTTACATGGCATAAAATGGGCAATCCTTTCCCCGCTAAAAGCAGCTGCTGTGGCATGGGGTAAATCATGGTCAGGGTCGTCAATCCGCTGTTACTCAGACAACTAAGCACATGTCATATCATCAACAAATGCCACTCATCATCCATATAATCATGGTATTGCTGGGGAACTCACTTGGTTGGCCACTTACCACATTTCTTTTACTTTCATGTACCAGGCGGGGGTATACATCCCTGCCGACAATTGTCTCATTTATATTCCAGGCATGTTCATCATACGCTTCCTACAGCCGCCCATACAGTCACGGCCACTCTTTCGTTCCAGAGACACAATCATAGATTAGACATACTCATGCAGCATAGCATGTACTATCCCACCTAGCACTTTCATCCCATACTTGTAGAACGCATAACACTGCTATTCATCTGGCTTTAAAGAATCTCATTGGAACACGACATAGCTCAACCTGTGTCATAACATTTCTCCTAGGTTTTGCTTCATTTTTTGCCACCTTAAACTAAAACCATCTCACACACCATTAACTATATATTTTACAGGCATTCAACAACACAGGATAACCTATGGCCAAAACTACCATAACTTCATGCTATCATACCAGACAAGAATATACTCAGAGGTTTTCAGGAATCCATCCCCCCACGTTCCTTTCAGAGATTACCAATAGCCATCCAACTTTTCCATCCTTATCGGACCTATTAGAGCTACAACCATTCAATTATACTACCAAGTCGGCCATTACCAGCCATGCAGACTGCCTTTTATGCCTTTCTCAGGCCAGAGAATCCACTACCATAACCACCACTCAGACAGATCATTGTCTTCAACAATCCCACGTATGTAAACACATATATCATTACCTATTGGCTCTACCACATTCCGAAACGAGTCAACACACACCAACAGTAGAGATAACATACTATCCTACCCACAACAAATGGTGTCCAGTTGCGGTCCTAGATTCCTACCTTCAAAATCCTTCAAGGAATTAAATACCGTAATGCATTTAAGGAAATGTCTGGTTAATTTGTATATATTGTTGACTGTATTAAATCTTTGATTATTCTTTTTTGCCCTCTTTATTTACAGGCCTACCGTATCGTCGGTCTCGGCACACCACAACCGACTTGCTCCCTTTATACTATCCTACGCTTATGATGGAACCTTACTCCATATACGGCTATTTGCCCCTTACACAAATATATATATATATATATATATATATATATATATATATATTTTTTTTTTTTTTTTTTACAGCTAACTAACTCTGAGCTTGGATATGACGGGTACAGGGCCTCCCATGGTTCCCAAATCCTCTTTATTTTTTTATTTTAGGTTCGGGGAGAGAATAGACATATGTTCATAAGCGTAATTAAGGCTTATTTTGTCTAACAGCGGTATTTTCGTGGGACACAGGTTTGAGTTCCAATTTAAAGCAATGAGGGATCTAGCTGCAAGGGCAATGTGCGATACGAAGGCCCTTTCATGGAAGGTAAGTTGAGGTGGAATCTCCAGCCATAGGTATGCCTGGTTCTAATGAGAGCTTTACGTTAAGTGATGCAACGAACTTTACCACCGTGGCTTTATCTCCCTGCAGTCCCACCAAACATAGAACATGGTACCTCTATCCAAGCCACATCGCCAACACACTGCCCATACTGTTTTATAAATGTGATTAAGTTTGTCAGGCGTGCGGTACCAGCGGTATACAAGCTTGCGGTGAGCCTTTATATGCGACAAGCATCTGGTAGTGCCGCGTAATGCATTTAATCTCTTCCCTGTGTCTCTTTCCCATTTTGTCACAAGAGCCATGGGGGTCTTAGCCCTGGGGGTCATTTGGGCATTATAACATCTTCAAAGGAGTTTGGGTCTCACTGGAGTTGTCCAGCACGAGGCCAACAAATGTTGTGTTTCCCTCTCGTCGCGATTGGTGTCATCCTTATTATAATCAACATGTTCTAGTAGTACAATTTTGATTTGCAAATAGTGAAATGTAAATTTTGATGGCAGTTGGAATGTTTCCTGTAGGGATGGGAAGGGAACCAGTGATCCCCCAGATATTAGTTGTGATAAGCTCCTGACTCCCTGATTTTCCCAGTGGTGTAGACAGTCACAGGGAAATAGCTCTCACAGCATCTATTGGCGCTAACCGGTGGAATTTGGAAGGTGAGTGCAGCTTATTGTGAAATGCATCCCAGGCGGTAATTGTCGCTTGTGTGGTCAGGTAGAGGAGGAGGTCCCATCTCGCAGGGGTGGAAGAGTCCACATGCTTGATAACAGTGAGTCTCCTGGCATATCTACCCATCCCAACAACCCACTTGATGCGTGGAGGTTAATGACCTGCTTTACATTTTAAAGACATATCACACTAATGGGGTTATTCAATAAACACTGTAAATGATTCTGACCACAATGGTAATTCTCATATTTACTGAAGTCAGTTCCCATCGAAATTTGGCAATTGTCAGATGCATTTGGTGTCTGCATTAAAACCTGTGCTTTCGCATGCGAACCCTATACAAAGTATTGCATTCATAAGATTTACAAAGCATTAAGAACCTAACTTCCCTCCTCACTGTAGTACAGATAGACCTACCTTCTTAATGACCGCTTGGACATACGACCAGCTCTCTATAGATTCAAGTAATTCCTTGTGCTAGAGAGCTGATCTGTGTTTGAGGTATTTTCAATCAAACATAGATTTGAGAAGTTCCCTGAGCTAGAGAGCTGGTCTATGTTTGAGCGAATTCCTTCAAAACCAGACCTGTTCTTTAGTGCAGGGAATTCCTCAAATCTATGTTCGAAAGAAATTTGATGCGGTAAGGCTTGGTTATCGCGCCAGTTTGAGGGATTCTAGTTTACTGACCTGATTGTAGGAATGGATCTCGGCCGTTAAATGAGGAGTGCCTGTAATAGTAGGTTGGTAAGTGGGCAATAAAAACAATACCTGTTACAAGAAAATTATTCGTACCATCAGAAATTTGGCTGACATCTGGCCCAAATTCAAAACCGTTCAGAGCATGAATTGCAAAATATAGACATTACTAAATAGTATGAACATTGCAGTTGAAGTGGCCCTGTGTGCAGCCAGATGGCTTTGCGCCATTAGGTAGGTAGCCATTCAGAGTTTAGAATTGATTGACAGTGAAGCTATGCTATATATTCATCCATACGGTAGAAGGTATAGGGATTTGGGCCCAAATTAGTGGCAGTTCCTACCAGAAATGAGATAAAACCAAGTAATGTTTGCCGATATTACCCACATGTTACCATATGAACCCTGAGCGCTGTTTCATTACACAGCTATACTGCTGCCACAGCTCTCGGTACATGGAACTGGAGGAATACATTGCTCTCCCTCATTCCCCTCCCCTCTGTCCGCTCCTGCGCTCTGCTTCCTGCTCGGGGGATCTGCAGCCATTCACACGAAGAGCTCCGGTCCGGTGACAGCAGCCGAACGGACACACACTGTACACAGCCCGGGTCTGCAGGCTCGGTCCATACAGGCTGCTGCCGGGCGGACATGGCCGCTGTCTGAGGGCATCTAATCTATAGCCCGGGGAGAAGGCACCTGGGGCTGAGCCAGGGTCTGTAATAGGCCGTGCTGGAAAACAACGGGAGGGACAGGGAGAGGCTGCAGCCTAGACCAGCTGGTAAGCAATGTTCATGGAGCAGCAGGGGCCAGGGGAACAAGCCTGGGGGCTCCCGGGGCCCCCACATTGACACACTGTAGGTATTGGTGTCAGGGTGACTGTGAGGTGGCTGTCTGGCTGTGACATGTGTCAGTGCTCGTGGTGGAATGTGGCTTAGACAACTTGCTGAGCTGAGTGGAACTTCGGAATGAGTGGGTTTGATGTAAAAACATATTTTTAGTTGAAATTGAGAATCAGATGTAACATTGAGCAGAAAACAGTGGTTATGTTTAAAAAATAAATAAAAAAAATACAGAAGAACTGGTAACTGGGCATGACGTTTACCTGCATGTTGAAAAACATGTTTGTGTCTAAACATATTTATAATCCGTGAATGGAATATATACATTGTAAGAATGTGCTCGAGTAGGCTAAAACATACATTTTACCGATCCTCTCGAACTGCAACTCCAGTGAAGCTTTGCCAGCCATGTCATGGACAATTTCATATTATCTCCCTCAGTGTGAGGTAAAAAAACTAAAACAGCCACATTTGGGCCCATTTATATTTATATGTGTACATTGCCCACTCAAAAACCATAATACAAACAATACAGGTATATTTTAAAAATAAAATAAACAAGATAAAATGATAGTGTTTATATTGATTTAAGTACTTATAAGATGTTCCTATTGGTCTATTCTAGTTTAATGCACTTTCTACACTACTAGCCTACTCCAGTTTACAGTAACTATGGTAATTTAGTGTGGCAAATGGCACTGTTTTTCCTACATTGAGTCACTTTCACTTTTCAACTTCTGCATTGCTCTAAATAGACAAATTTGGAAACATTCACATACTGTTTCTAGTATCACTATTTTGACATAAAATTTGAGATTTCTTCTTTACCGAATTACCCAGTCACTATTTTGTGTGTAAACCCAATTATTTTTATTTTGCATTGGACATTTGATTTCTGCCTTGGCATCAACTTTTTAAATGCTAGTTTAAGCAATTTATATACACTTAAAAAAAACAAAAAAAAAACATATTGAGAGTTTTTATTTAAAATTATGATTTTATGATAAAATTATAGTTTTTATCATAAAATTATGATGCAAATATCAGGCACTTAAAGGGACACCAAATAGTCACCAGAACCAATGCAGCTTAAGAAAGTTTCAGAGAAAATGCAGTGTTTACATTGCTGCTTAGTTACCCCTTTCGTGATAGTTCTTCCTAGTGGTATTCTGCTTCTACACACTTGGCATGGAGGCACTGAAAGTTCCCCATAAAGATGCATTCACAACAACCTCTCAATTCTCTCCTGTAGGAAAACATTGGATTGAGGTGATCATCAAGATTTATGATCTCAGCCATAGAGACAGGGCCAGCATTGGAGTAAAAGTGAGTTAAATCACCTTTTCATCTCAATTGGAATGGGTCGGGGACCTAAAGTGTCATACCAGGACTATAGTGTTAGAAATACGTGTCCTTTCTGTTTGATTTTCTCATAGAGAAAACATTGGATTCATTATTTCTTTATGAGAAGCATTGAATTCACAGAGCACAGCAATTGGAATGCATGCACAGTATATCTGCAGAATTGCAGGGGCCCGGAATCCAAAATAGTAAAGAAACACATCTCACTTTAAAAATAATCGATTTGTTTCGAAGTGTTTCATTTAACATGTGGAATAATGTGTTTTATTTAAATTTTTTTAACCCCTTAACGACCGAGGACGGTTCAGGACCGTCATCGGCATTTTTGCGTTGCTGACCGATGACGGTCCTGAACCGTCCTAACGGTCTGAGTTACTTACCTGATCGCCGTCGTTCCCCCGGCGGCGATCAGCATGGCTCCCGGTGTGGGGAGACTGCCTGCAGCCCAGACAGTCTCCCCACACTGGATTAGGACCCCTGTGGCCATGTGATCGCTCAACAGAGCGATCACATGGTCACAATAGGTGTCCATGTGTCTGCCTGCAGGGGGACTGCCTGTGCTGACAGGCAGTCTCTCTGCTAGTGTAAAATCAGTAAAAAAAAAAAATAAAGTTAATGTTAATAAAAAAATAAAAGAATTATATATGTGTATATATGATATATAGACATATATTATATCTATATAATATATGTCTATATATCATATATATATATATTGCCATACTAAGTGTATTTTTATATTCATATGTACTTATATTAATATAAAAATACACTTATAATTAAATTACACACGTGTGTGTGTGTATATATATATATATATATATATATAATAAAATATAAATAATAAGTAATTTAAATTAAATAATTTTTTTTAAATAATAAAAATTTAAAAAAAATTATATCTATATGAAATTTTATTCTAACTGTATTTTAAAATTAATATATATATATATATATATATTTATATCAAAATACACTTGAATTTGTATATATATCTAGGTATATATAAATAAAAATAATACGAAATATACATATGTCCATATACAAAATTAGATAAATAATTATATAAATATACACGTAGACTTCAAATATATAAATATGCATATATATTTAAATTCTACGTGCGTATTTATGTAATATTTTTACAGAATTCAGTAATTTTATTGATTGCAATTTGAGGGACCTGCCTGCCAGAGAATTTAATTTGCTTGCACTGTATTTTACCCTGTAACGTTCTACGACACCCTAAAACCTGTACATGGGGTTACTGTTTTACTCGGGAGACTTCGCTGAACACAAATATTAGTGATTCAAAACAGTAAAACATATCACAGCGATGATATTGTCAGTGAAAGTGACTTTTTTTGCATTTTTCACACACAAACAGCACTTTTACTGATGATATAATTGTTGTGATACGTTTTCCAGTTTTTAAACACTAATATTTGTGTTCAGCGATGTCTCCCGAGTAAAACAGTACCCCCCATGTACAGGTTTTATAGCATTTTTGAAAGTTACAAGGTCAAATATATGGGTCAAATATTTTTACATTGAAAATGGCCAGGTTGGTTACGTTGCCTTTGAGAGCGTATGGTAGCCCAGGAATGAGAATTACCCCCATGATGGCATACCATTTGCAAAAGAAGACAACCCAAGGTATTGCAAATGGGGTATGTCCAGTCTTTTTTAGTAACCACTTGGTCACAAACACTGGCCAAAATTAGCGTTCAATTTAGTTTTTTTACTTTTTTCACACACAAACAAATATGAATGCTTACTTTGGCCAGTGTTTTCGACTAAGTGGCTACTAAAAAAGACTGGACATACCCCATATTGTCTACTTTAAAAAAAATATGTACCTGTGGGGTGTTATTCAGAGATTTATAACAGATAATAGTGTTACAATGTCACTATTGATAAATTTAAAAAATGTATGTTTTGAAAACGCAATATCCTACTTGTACCTATAGCCCTATAACATGCAAAAAAGCACGTAAACACTGGTTATTTTTAAACTCAGGACAAAATTTTGAATCTATTTAGCAGTTTTTTTCATTCGTTTTTGTAGATGAGTAAAAGATTTTTCAAGTAAAAGTAAAAAAACATGTATTTCTTTTTCAATTTTTCATCATATTTTTTTTTTTTTTTCAATTAATTAAAATACATGAGATTATATAAATAATGGTATGTAAAGAAAGCCCCTTTTGCCCTGAAAAAAACAATATATAATTTGTATGGGAACAGTAAATGAGAGAGCGGAAAATTACAGCCAAAGACAAACACCACAAAAGTGTCAAAATATGCCTGGTCGCAAATGTACAACATCGCAAAAACAGTCCAGTCCTTAAGGGGTTAAAGTCTGTTTTTTAAGGAAAACTCACTTCCTATGCTGCATACTTTTCTTGATTTTTAAACATCAGAGCATGTAAGGATTGGAATAGGTAGACTGTTTTTAGCTTCCTTGTTTATATAATTGTCTATTGTTTGTGTGTGCACCACATGCAGAGTAAGGAAGACTGTCTCTTGAGATAGTGAACTGCAGACTGTGACACTTTTTTTTTTGTGTGGTTTCAATAGAAAAATACTACCCATTGACTAAACAGTGAACTGCCATAGTATGGCAGCTGTCTCTTTATAATTCAGGTCCTGTTATCCCTATGATCATTGGGACTGAGGGTTGGGGATAACCTAAAACTACTTAACTCCTAAACCTCTGCTTGACAGATGTGTATGGGATAACAACAGTTCCCAAAGTCCTGAAAGACACTCTCCTGAATGGACACTCTCCTATATCATATGTGCATGGGAGAGGACTGCATTCAACTGTAGGCACACCCAATAAGCAGTGCACAAAGGGACACTTTCCCGTTATGTAGAAGTAAAATTGGCAATATGCAATCATACAATAAATAAATGAACCACTTGCTAAAACAAAGTTGTCTACTCCCAAAATCTTTCTCTGTGAAGGGGTCAGAGGTCCTGCAAATGCCTACATATTCAGTTTTTGAGCCACAAATTGTCAGTATTAAAGGACCACTATAGGCACTCAGACCATTTCAACTCAATGAAGAGGCCTGGGTGCCAGGTCCTCCTAGTATTAACCCTGCAGCTGTAAACAGAGAAACTGCCATGTTTACATTGAGGGTTAATCCAGCCTCTAGTGGCTGTCTCCATGACAGCCACTAGAGGCGCTTCCACGATCCTCAATGCGAAAATCGCATTAAGGACACGCTGGACGTCCATGGGAAAGCAATGAGTAATTCAGTGCTGACGTTGGCAGGGGGAGGAGAGGTCACCAGCACTGAGGGAGCCCGGCGCTGGGTATAGGTAAATGGCTCAAGGGGTTTTAACCCCTTCAGCACAGCGGGTAAAGGGCTCTGAAGGAGGGGGAGGGGAACCTAATAACCCTATGATGCCAGGAAAACAAGTTTGTTTTCCTGGCACTATAGTGCTCCTTTAAGTTCATTAAAATTCTGATTTTAAATAGAATCTTAATCTTTATTGTGTGACTTAGCAAAAGTAAATAATTTCAAGGAGTGCTAATTTGTTTTGTAGACCCTTGGATGCAAAGGCAAGAATATCTTGTTTTGGAGAGTTAAAGCAAACTCTGTTGTCAATAACCTTTGTACCGTTGAGGTTATCAGAAATGTGTAATATATCTTTAGGGTGGCAAGTTTAATTTTCCTTCATTTCAAAAGCAATTACTTAAATAGTTCTGGTTTGCAATTGTCATCATAAATCATCTGCAGTTTTGTTTGGATTGTATAATTCAAAGTTAATTTAATTGTTGGGAATTGAAAGTGATTTCAATGTGAATTTTGAATTCAATACCAAAAAATCATCCAAGTCAGCTATATTTCTATTGCAGGTGTTTTGGTCTACACTGGAATTCACATTGAATTCCTGCCAGTTTTCTCTTTAGTAACCCTGCATGTGCTTTCCATTTGCTTTTGTGCCTTCTCTCATCCTGTATTGTACACGCTGAATCACTACTGGAATCTCTATAAAACATCCAATACATGTGATCACAGGTATTCATTTTAGATCATGCTAGATTTAAATATTTTGATTGACTGCATTGTACTGCAGAGAATGGCATTTGGTTGTTGATCCAAAATTTTTGTGTATTAGATATTATTATTATTATAATATTTATATAGCGCCAACAAGTTCCGTAAGGCTTTACAATGGGTGGAGAAACTGCAATTTTTATAAATGGGTTAATCCAGCCTCCAGTGGCTGTCTCTTGACAGCCGGTAGAGGCGCTTGCGTGCTTCTAACTGTGAAAATCACAGTGAGAAGACGCCAGCGTCCATAGGAAAGCATTGTGAATGCTTTCCTATGGACTGGCTGAATTCGTGCGCGGCTCCTGCCGCGCATGCGCTTTCAGCCGAAGAGGGAGGTGAGGAGGAGGAGAGCTCCCCGCCAGGCGCCGGAGAAAGAGGTAAGTTTAACCCCTTCCTCTCCATCCAGCCCAGCAGGAGGGGGTCCTTGAGGGTGGGGGCACCCTCAGGGCTCTATAGTGCCAGGAAAACAAGTATGTTTTCCTGGCACTATAGTGGTCCTTTAAGAGGAGTTTGAGGCTGCAACTGCAGCTCTTTTGGGTTTCGGTGTTGTTCCTTCACGGAATCCATTTCTGTACCTCCTGTACACAACCAGATGTCTCGTACGTCCAGTACCAGTGGTGTTGCTTCTCTTGGCTTTGGCGCTCCAGTTATACTTTCTCTTGCGCTTTGCTGGGTATCCACACTTGCCACAGGTGGATTTTTGCAGATGATATGCCTTAGGTCCACAGCGACGACACAGTGTGTGACTTGTTCCGGCGCTTGCTGAATGACAATTTCCCCTTCGTCATCTTCCCCAGCGGCCGATGCGATCGAGCGTAACCAGACAAGTTTGACGCACAGAAACCGAGGGGCTGAGGGCCCTGTTCAATGAGCTTACATGCTAGAGGGAGTGGGGTAAAGTGACACAAAAGGTAAGGGAAGTATTAGGGAAGTAGATTGGTAGAATAGTATTCACTGTAGACTTAGTATGAGGTTTTTTGGAGCTGTAGAAAGATCATTTTTGAAAGGTATATCCAAACATACACAGTAAGATAAAAAAAAATTAAAGGAACACTAAAGGCATTATAACAACTATGCCCTGAGGCCCCCCAGCTCTCCAGATCTAAACCCTAGATTGCCTCATTAGCTGCGAGCTTCAGCTGGTTTCTCTCAGCCATTGATCTAAGCCATGAAACTTTAGGCTTGGCTCAAACAGAGCGCTTCCATTCCTCTCACTGTCTAAACAGTAGTGCAGTTCCAGATATGATACATTATACTGTGCAATTTTTTTCTAGCATCAGGCTGTTTTAATGCTCTATGTAGGCATGTCTGTCTCTACTGGTTATCTTTCTTAACATGCATCTCTATGAGGCAAGTTCAGTGTCTGCATGCAGAGGTTGGAGGCACTAAATGGCAGTGCGGCACACTGGGCAGCACTGCCCCAGGAAGCACCTCTAGCAGCCACCTGAGGCGTGTCCAGTGGAGATGTCCCTAGGCTGTAATGAAAACACTGCATTTTCCCTGAAGGGAATAATTATACTCATCAGAGCAAATACAATAAGCTGTAGTTGTTCTGGAGACTATAGTGTCCCTTTAATTTTTTTCTTCCAGGCTTTCTCTGTGCTGACTGCCTGGTGCAAAGGACAGAGCTTCTAAAAGTGGACTGAGTTCAGATGGATGTTGCAGGATACCATATTTTGTTTTCTAGATTTATTTTTATTTTTCACAACTCACAAATATATAATATATATATATATATATATATATATATATATATAATTTATTTTTTTATCGAATATGTAATAAAAAAAAATACGAGGAAGTAACTGTGCCCCTGAATTATTATTAGTTATATTATACATATATATATATATATATATATATATATATGTATATGTGTGTATATATATATATATATGTATATGTATGTATAATTCTATATATTGAGATCTATTAAATCGAGGCCAATATCAAATGCACGGTCAAGTAGGAGAAAACAAAATAAAAATTTTTCCCTAGGAAATCAGTGCTAGTTTTTTATTCCAGACTGCCTTCACTTTACAGACTTTATTCAAGTACATTTTAAGTAAATATTGTTTTTAGACAAATGTCTCTTTCTGAATAGAGCAGTGTGTACTTTAATGCATCACTGTATGGCAGAATATGTTTGTGTCTGTCCTCATTTTGTAAACAGGAGGCGTAACCAGATAGAGGCTTGGAAATTTCTCTTTTGAGTCACATGAGTTGTTGGGATAAAGCTTTTCTTTTTATTTCTCAGATTACATGTCATGCCAGCTGTTGCCTGGGATGTTACTGAAGCACACTCTTTTATTGTAAACGTTCGTGTCCATATACCGGTAACCAGATTCCACTATCCTATAAATAATTTGCTGGATACAAAAAGCAAATGTGACACTCCTTTAGGTAATACAATTGTAATCCTGCGTGTATGATAATTTATAGAACTAACTGATCTATTTTAAAGACAATTTGAAAGAATTGCATCTTGGCAATCAAAGGAATAGGGAATAAAATCAGACATGGCTAGTCAATTGAACATAACATATGTTTAGATTTGTGCAAACTGTACCCAGACTCAACATACAGGGAAACTATAGGAGAAATATCACCCCTTTTTAATACGTTATAAAGCTAATGCTTTGAAATAATGCAAACAAAGTAAAATAAAAAAACACACATATTCCGTATTTACTCAAATCTAATGTGCACCTTTTATTGGCAAAATAAAGTCTCCGAAATTGAAAAGCACATTAGAGTTAATGATGATGTATGAAAAATAAAATTAAATATGCCTCTTTGTCCTCCAACTGGGCGCCTCCATCCTATTTCTCTGTCAGTTATTGTTATAACCTCTGTCCTTTGCACCTCTATGCATGTTTCTGTTCTTCATTAGCAATGTTTGCCCTGGCAAAGCTGTTCAACTGTTTGACTACTTACTTTGCGGGTAGGCATCTTGCCACTTCTAGCACCATAACCAGTACAGAATCATGTAGTGGTTAGGGTGATTTTAATCATGTAGTGGTTAGGGTGATTTTAAAACTGTAAAGTTACAAATATAAAATAATCTATTAATATTTCTCAAGTAAAATAAAAGTGCAATGTGAGTCAATAGAAGAGAAGTATTATTCCAATCAATATTTGGTGTAACAATTTTTTCCCTTCAAAACTGCATCAGTTCTTCACAGTTTTACACAGTTCTACAATTGCATACAATTTTGTAGGGAACTTGGGAGGTAGTTTGTTAAAAACATCATGGAGAACTAACCACAGTTCTGCTAATTTAGGAATTCTTTTTTGTCTTGTTCTGGGCTGCCAATGACATTGCTAAAGGTGGAGTCACACATTTAGCAGCAAAGCGCAGACTCCAAGCACCATAAACACTTGAAATAGCTCAAGTGGTCACGAGGTTTGAGGCAACCTTTCAGTTTTATTTTTTTACACCTTAGGAATACATATTTGTTAGAACTAAACATAAGATTACAAATTTGGAGTGACAGCCTCTTTAGAGTGCAAATGCTGTTCCCACTAGGCACAGTTCACTATATTTTGAACATTATCTTCCTTTGGAGAATCAATTGATAAAAGGTTTTTATTGTTCTAAATAGAAGCAGTCATTGGTATTGCATGGTTAGATAAACTTCAAAAGAATGACTGCTACAGTTTTCAATTACATTTAAAAATAATAATAAAATATTATATATCCCATGCTTTTGAAATTCCCATGTTTAGTCTAATAGTGCAATGAAATGAAACACTGTTTAGAGACCATGCTTATCAATAATACTGCCACAATGCTAGAGAAATCATCTGGAAATTATAGAATCACATTCTTAATATCTACACAAAAAGATATAACAGAAGGAATGGAAACCGAAAGTAAGAGTTGTGCGGTTTATGTGATTTTGTTTGGATAAAATATTATCGCTAGTTGTTGAGAAATAGTCATAAGTTGTTTAACTTGATCCACTGGTGGAACAGATAATCAAAATAACACAATTTTATGTTAAAAGAACACTCCATAGAAAGAAAAAAATATTAAAAAGCGGAAATGCTTTAGGTGCTTGGAGGAATTATGTAATATCGAAAATATGTCTTGGAGCTTTTAAATAACTTCGCTCCATAGCATTATTTGTTTTTCTGTAATGAGAATATATATATAAAATTATTTTACATGGGTGTGTTGTAGCTATAGAATTCTGTTGCATACAAAAATAACCCAACAGCTCATTAGAGTGAGCTATATTATTTTGCATGCTGTATCAATTTGTCTCACACACATTCCTATTTGTGTCAGGATTTATGATTTGAGTCAGCATTTCAATTTGCAAATGTATCATATATTCACATTGACATGAGAACTTATTACTATGGTTGTTTTTCTGTCTTGTGGCCGTCTTGTGCTCTTTGACCAGGGTTAAGAAATGTGCTATGTCTTGTGTTCTTACTCTAGGTTACTTCTCATTTTCAGCCTATTAGTAATTTAACTAAACTATACAAATATGTCTAAAATCCTTACATATGTAACATGATAACAGCTTTAATGATTTGTTCAGGACGTTCCTGACAACTGATGTTTGTAGTGCTGGACACCAGTCCTAAACAAGTCTTCAGTTTTCCACAATGGCTACATAAATGGGCATAGTCACATGTTCACACATTTTGTAGGAAGCGGATGGTGAGAACAGATTCCCCTCAGATAATTTTGTAACGGGGAATGAGTTGGGGGAGATCCCCAAGTCACAATGGTATAGCCACAAAGAGCTCTGTGGTTTAAGCATTGTGAAAACAGCTGATTGTCTTTTGCACATAACTTTTTTTTTTTTTAAATTCTTTATTTTTGTAGTGCAAGTTTAGAACAGCAAGCCCATGTTGCCACAACAGCAGTCACAGGCATAACATCAACATACATTATCTGACATGGCAAGTGAGAGAACTGCACAGTTTTATAAATTGAAGCAGAAAAGGTCCGCACATTCTATGTTTTGTTAAAATAACTGAATGATATATGAGCTTGATCTAGGTATGCTTGAATATAGTACTAACATGGTAACGTTAGAAGTAAACAGGTGATGGTCGCTAAACCGAACATAAACTTCGCCTAATCTGGGCGATTAAAGAGTTAGGGTGTAGTGTCGCCCTGCTAGCCAGTGTGGCCTCCCAAGGCTATGTGCCTCAGCTCGCTGAGGTCAAGGACACAGCGACATGAGTGGTAGGGCTGTGAGTGATAGGGTTAATCTGGGTAAGTGTAGCGAGCTCTTGGAAGCATGTATCCCATACCCCTAGCGTAGCTATAGTTAAGTGGCTAGACTGCGTGTGCTAGTGTGGATAGTAGGTATGCAATTGGGTTGAATTAACCGACATAATGTCAAGCTGTGATGGAGTGAACCACCCTGTCTTTATGAGAGGTATGTGCTATACATATGGTGTATAAATGGATTAGACACGGTGGGCGTGAGATAGCGAGCTTAGGCTACTTCATTGTGGCCCAAGGTGCGTATCACCACTGGAGTGGTATTCGGGGAGGTCACGGTGTTAAATGGGCTGTGGTGGAGGACCCTGGGTGTTGTTCAAACTGATAGTCCCCGAGAGTTCACACCTTTGTGTAGGTGAAAAAAGAAGAAAACGTCCCGGTGAGCAGTCCCAGGCTCAGAGTCCCGGTTCAAGTGGTGGCTGCCGCATAGGGTTCCGCTGGTCTTTGCCTTGGCACAAATTCCGGTGCGCTAGCCGAGTGTGTCCCGAGGCTGCAGCTTGTGGGGCCTCTCTGCGCTGATGCAGCTTCTAGGGTTGACAGTGGGAGGTTTAGCTTCTCTAATGCCTCTGCGGCCTCTTGTAGGTTCCGGGCCAGCACAGGGCCACTTGCGCTCTCTATGCTCAGGGTCCGGCCGGGTCCCCAGCGGTATCGGATCTGTTGCTGCCGTAGGAGAGAGGTGACCTGCCGGAGGGACCTTCTCCAGGACAGTGTGCCACTCGATAAATCCGCATAGAAAGAGAGGGACATTTCTTCAAAGGTGTATGTTGGCCGGCCCTTGATGGCGTCGAGTACTGCCCTTTTGTCTCTTGCTGTTTGAAAGCGGAGGATTATATCACCGGTGGCCGTTGGTGGGGCTGTAATCGGCTTTGGGATGCGAAAAATCTCATCCAGCAGGATCGTTCTTGCCACTTTTGGAGTCAGGAGCGCAGTTAGCAGTCGCCTGGTAAGGTGAGGGAGCTCTGCTTCAGGAATGGAGTCCGCGACCCCCCTTAGCTTCAGGTTATTTTGGCGTCTCCTATCTTCTTGGGTGGCCAATTGTTGTGTATGGAGTGTCGCTTGTTTTTTCAGGTCGCTTACCGCTGCTTGCAGTTCCGCAATCTGGCTTGTGTGGTCTCTGGAGGTGTTTTCCACCGTTCCCAGCCGGGTGCACAGGCCTTGCAGGTCTTTCCGGATTGTTGCCACCTCCGTTGAAATTTTTTCATGGTGGGAGGCCATGAGTGCCGAGATAGCCTCCATGGTGACCGGCGTGTGGGTTGAGGCGGGTGGTCGAGGTTTCTCAGGCAGTGGTGGTAAGCCTGTTGGTATGAGGCTCCCTTCTCCCTCATCGGATGTCTCATCCGAGAAGTCTGTACATCCTCCATGCAAGGACTCCATTGTTGCGCTCGCGGCCTCATGGGCCTGTCTCCACATGTCCCCGATGTTCATACCCTGACGGGGCTTGTCGGGCTTTGGCTTCTTCGTTTTTCTGCCCATTGTTGTCGGGTGTGTTAAGGGCACCTTGGGGTCCGTTGGGCCGTGTTGGGCTTCAATATCAGCAGGTTTGTATAATTTTAGTCGGGAGCTCCTCGGCCATGCGACTATCCTTGTCCGTAGCTTCAAGAAAAGGCTTGCACATAACTTTTAAAACAAAAGTTAATCAATCCCGGGAAAAAACTAAATAATATTTAGTATATAAATCTCAATGAAAACATGCAAGTATTTAATTATGCATTTTTTTCATTGGGGGTATAACTAGAAATATCTTGCAGAGTTTGTAAACCCTCCCATTCTAATCCCACCCTAATATTCTATGGCTGTCAAATCACAGATTTTCCAATGCAGCTCAATGAGAAGTCTTTACCAGTCAGGTGCTCTGGACAATCGCTGCTTCTTGATCCAGCGAAACCATAAGATGGCACTGGAGCTTAGAACACACCGACCTATGGGGTGCAATGTCTGGGTGACTGCCAGGAGGAAAGCGCACAGCACTTCCACTGCTGCCAGTCACTCCATGTAGCATGGCTGCATGGACCGCAGATCAGGGTCACATCTTCTACCTGATCTTACAAAAAAATGCTTGCTGGTAGACTAAACAGCTATCTGTCAGAACAGAAAAAAGACACAGAAGATCCTCTGGTAAGCAGGCACACCAGAAGGAGGATTTCGGGGTAAAAGATCACAAAGAGGTGGGATGGGGCCAGTGCAGGGGGTGCAAAAATCTCCTACCTCTGGCTGGGGACTTGGATTTCACAACTCACCTCGCTCTCCCTGCAGCCTGCACGGAGCAGGTGCTAGGCAGTGAAGTCAGCCGGCCTCCTCTGATGATGTCAGAGGAGGGGGCATGACTTCCACTGCTCCCAGACTCCCAAGCGGTCTTCAGTGGAACTCCTGCCTTCAGCTCCTATCTGGCCTGTCCCACCTGACCACCAAGGGTAAGATTCCCCTACACCCAAGGTAAGCCTCAGGAAAGTTTTTATATATATATATATATATATATATATATATATATATATATATATATTCAAAACATTTTATTTATTTTTAGTTTTTTGTTCCATTTATTTTTTTAAAGCAGCCCCTGCCTTCATTATACCCTGCTCCCCCACAGTACTACCCCCCTCTACAGTGCCTGCCTCCATAATACTGCCCCAGCCTCCTCCTCTACAACCCCTGCCTCCCCCTCTACAGCCTGGCCTCCATTATACTGCCCTGTCCCTACCTCTACAGCCCATGTCTCAATTTGACTGCCCCTACCTCCCCCTCTACAGCCCCTGCCTCCATTATACTGCCCTTGCCTCCATAATACAGCCCCTGTTCCCCCTGTAGAGTCTCTGTCCCCTGCTCTACAGAACCTGCAACCATTATACTGCCCCTGTCCTCCCCTCTACAGCTCCTGCCTTCATTATACTGCCCATGTCCCCCCTATGCTGCCCCTGCCCCCCTCACAGCCCGCCCCTGCCTCCATTATACTGCCCTTGCCTCCACCATACTGCCCCTGTACCCCACTACAGCCCCTGTCCCCCACTACAAGCCCTGCCCCCTTTACAGCCTCTAACTCCCCTATTACACATCCCTTCCACTACAGCCTCTATTCCCCCGCACGCAGCCCTACCATCAACCTACTTCAGCCCCTAACTCACTACTACAGCTCCTATTCCCCAATTAGAGCCCCTAACCTTCAACTGCAGCCCTTGTCCTTCCCCACTACATCCCCCTACTACAGCCAAAACGGGGGCAGAGGGGGGAGACACACAGAAAAGGGCTGTGGGAAAGAAGAGGGTTGTATGAGATATACAAGGGAGTATAAGACAGACTAAACAGGAGATACAATACACTAAAGGAGGTAAGAAATTCAAAAGGGGGTTTACGAGACACCGGTGAAGATGCATTTTTGGGGGAGAGGGGAATGGGTGGCAAAATGCATCTTCGCCTGTGTAGCCAAAAATCCTTGCACCGACCCTGGATGGGGGGAGTGAAAGAGACACACAGAGGGGCCTGGGAAGAGACACACAAAAGGAGCTGGGGAAAAAGAGATACAAACTTGGCTAAGGAAGGGGAGAAAAACACAGGTGCACTGGGGGAGGGAAAAAGAGACTCACAATGGGGATGGGGTGTAATAAGAGACACACAAAAGAGGGAATAAGAGCCCTGTCTACTAATATAAACTACCAGGATGTAACAGAACCAGTTTTGTGATTAACAGTTAGGGATGTATACCAAAATGAAAAAAAATAGACTTTTTTTTTCCTACTAGCTAGTGTGTTTGGAGTGTGCTTTAGGTGTTTGGAATGTACTTTTAAATAGACTATGCAAAATCTGTAACTAATTTTTTCTTTTCAAAATTCTGAAATATGTATCTACAAAGTAAAAAATAAAATAAAAATAGAACTCAAATTAAACTTGCCTCATACATGGTGCACACCAACAAATATTGCACACTCCACTGGCGCTTAGGATGCTCAGGGCCGGATTAACATAGGGGCTGATGGAGCTGCAGCTCCAGGCCCAGGCCCAGGCCCATGGAATAGGCCCATTTAAAAAAAAAAAAATTTTTTTTTTTTTTTTTTTTTTTTTACACACTACTCTTAGGTTTGCCACCTGACTGTTATTTTAATGGCACAGATGGTATTTTTGAGGCTGCCTGGCTGTGACGGTATTGCAGTAATACCGGCAATACAAATGCAGGTATTTCCTCAGAATAAATGGAAATTACTCTGCAATACCAGCACCGGCCAGTAGGGGTCACTGTGTGTGGAGAGAGGCAGGGATAGGAAGTTACAGAATATCCCTGCCTCTCTCTGCTACTCACTGATCCGTGGAGGAGCAGCTACACAGCACAGAGAGTCCAGACAGCATCTCTACAGCTCAAGTAAGTGAGGGATAGGGGAAAGGCAGCAGGGACACATGGGGACACTGAGACACTAGGGGACACATGGGGACACTGAGACACTAGGGGACACTGAGACACTAGGGGACACATGGGGGCACAGACACTAGGGGACACTGAGACACTAGGGGACACATGGGGACACAGACACTAGGGGACACATGGTGACACTGAGACACTAGGGGACACATGATGACACATACACTAGGGGACACTGAGACACTAGGACACAGACACTGGGAGACCTGTGAACACTGAGACACTTGGGGACACTGGAAAACATGGGGACACTGGAAAACATGGGGACACTGAGACACTAGGGGACACAGAGACACTAGGACACATGGGGACACAGACACTGGGAGATTTGGGGACACTGAGACACTTGGGGACGCTGAGACACTTGGGGACGCTGAGACACTAGGGGACGCTGAGACACTAGGGGACGCTGAGACACTAGGGGACGCTGAGACACTAGGGGACGCTGAGACACATGGGGATGCTGAGACACATGGGGATGCTGAGACACATGGGGACGCTGTGAGACATAGGGACATTGGGAGACATTGGGACACGGAGACACAATGTCCCCCAGCCAGTGTCCCTAGTGTCCCCATGTGTCCCAGTGTCCCCATGTCTATGTCCACAACTGTCCCCATGTCTCCCCAAGTGTCTGTCTCCCAGCCAGTGTCCCCCAGTCTCCCAGTGTCCCCTAGTCTCCCAGTGTCTGTGTCCCTAGTGTTTTAGTGTCCCCAAATGTTTCAGTGTCTCCATGTCTCCCAGTGTGTTCCTAGTGTCTCAGTGTGCCTGGTGTCCCCATGTCTCCCAGTGTCCCTATATGTCCCAGTGTCCACATGTCTATGTCCACAACTGTCCCCATGTCTCCCAGTGTCGCCAAGTGTCTGTCTCCCAGCCAGTGTCCCCTAGTCTCCCAGTGTCCCCTAGTCTCCCAGTGTCTGTGTTCCCATGTCTGTGTCCCCAAATGTTTCAGTGTCCCCATGTCTCCTAGTGTCTGTGTCCCTAGTGTCTCAGTGTCCCCATTTCTCCCAGTTTCCCTAAATGTCTCAGTGTCCCCGGGTCTCTCAGTGTCCCCGGAATCCTAGTGACACGGGGACACACTGAGACATTGGGACACTGGGAGAAATGGGAACACAGACACTAGGGGACTGCGCGACATGGGGACACTGTTACTGTGATACATAGGGACACTGAAACACTGGGTGACTTGCGAGACTGAGACACTGGGAGACAGGGAGACACTGGGAGCAATCCATCTATACAGCAGAATCAAACTGTGAGTAATTTGGTGATTTTAAAGAATTTTCTCTGATGTCACTCCTTGTGATTTACATCACGTGATGTCACGCGTAACTAATTAATTATACAAATGATTACAGGACCACTCTAGGCACCCAGACCACTTCAGCTTAATGAAGTGGTCTGGGTGCCAGGTCCAGCTAGGGTTAACCCATTTTTTCATAAACATAGCAGTTTCAGAGAAACTGCTATGTTTATGAATGGGTTAAGCCTTCCCCTATTTCCTCTAGTGGCTGTCTCATTGACAGCCACTAGAGGCGCTTGCGTGCTTCTCACTGTGATTTTCACAGTGAGAGCACACCAGCGTCCATAGGAAAGCATTATGAATGCTTTCCTATGTGACCGGCTGAATGCGCGCGCATTCAGCCGCATGGGAGGAGAAGAGGAGGATCGGAGGAGGAGAGCTCTCCGCCCAGCGCTGGAAAAAGGTAAGTTTTAACCACTTTCCCCTTTCCAGAGCCGGGCGGGAGAGGGACCCTGAGGGTGGGGGCACCCTCAGGGCACTATAGTGCCAGGAAAACGAGTATGTTTTCCTGGCACTACAGTGGTCCTTTAACCCCTTAAGGACACACGACATGTATGACATGTCATGATTCCCTTTTATTCCAGAAGTTTGGTCCTTAAGGGGTTAAGGCTGGTATTTTTTTCCAAGAAAGGTGGCAACCTTAACTACTCTTCACATACTCTTGCTTAAAGGAGCACTAGAGGGTCAGGAAAACAATCATGTATTTCTGACCCTATTATGTTAAAACCACCACCCTGGGCCCTTCTTGCCTCCCTAAATATAGTAAAATATTACTTGTATTCAATTCTGCAGCTGCTGGCTCAGAAGTGGTGGTCTGAGCAAATTACAATACTTCCCCATAGGATTGGCTGAGACTGTCAACTAGGCAGATCATGGGCTGAGCCAGCACAAGTCCAACATAGCCCTGGCCAATCAGCATCTCCTCATAAAGATACATTGAATCAATGCATCTCTATGAGGAAAGTTCAGTGTCTGCATGCAGAGGGTGGAGACACTGAATGGAAGTGCTGCACACTAGGCAGTACTGCCCCAGGAAGCACCTCTAGCAGCCATCTAAGGAGCAGCCAGTGGAGTTATTTTCTCTGAAAACACAGTGTTTACTGCAAAAAGCCTGAATGAAATGATTCTACTTACCAGAACAAATACAATAAGCTGTAGTTTTTCTGGTGACTATAGTGTCCCTTTAAGTTTGGAAGCTTAAGAGGGATGTATGGGAACAAAACTTGTGTGCACTTGCTGACATTAAAGTTAGTTTAGGTAATGCAGACGTTGGTCTCTCTAACACTGTGACATGTCCCCTTTCTTCTACACTCACTACAGACATCTTTTCTCTGTCTCAGACTATATACCAGGAACTTCTGCCTGCTAGTAAGAAGGTAAGGAGACAAGTGGACCAGCGAGTGCTAGGGGACAGTCCTTAGAAAGAATGGAGTGAGCGCATCATTAGATGCATTTATGTCAAGCTCAAAGTGCTGCCTGTATAGTATGCCCTTAGTTGGACAGCCTGCAGGATTGGCAGGCAGCCTGACATGCATTCATGCCAGGCTGACCTTCCAATTCTTTGGACAAACATGCCCCTTTTTGGGCATGTTCACCCCTTTTGGCAGGCCTTGTCACGTGATTCGCGCCAGTGGCACACCCTTTTACCCTGCCCATTGTCTTCCTGCTTCACTGGACACTGCTGTTAGGGGGGTATGGATTTACTTGAAAGATGAAAGCATAAATTAGAGAGAAATTAGCATAGAGTATGTGTTTACTTATAGCTGCATCCTATGAGTTTCCCTCCAGCACCATCTCCATCAGATACATGAGGTATGATTGTTTTAGTGTTTTTGGTCGATAAGATTCCATAATTAGGCCCATCATAATTGTCAGCACCAGGCCCACTGTGCTCTTAATCCGGCCCTGAGGATGCTATTACAACTTCCCCAGTGAAGGTGATCCATTTTACAAAAAGTATTCTCTCTAAGGCAGCGTTTCCCAATTGGTGTTCCGCGTCCGCAAGAACAAAACTTGGGTTCCGCCGTGAATTGCCCCATCCAAGATGGCCACCGCTCCCTGCTGTTCCCAAATAGGCCTGTGAGCAAGATTGACTGCCAGTGTTGTGACGTCAGATGTCAACCACATAGTTGGCAAAGTACAGGTATTAAATAGACTCAGTAATGTGCAGCATGTGCGACAAGCAGGTAAATAATGTCTGGAATAAATGGTCACTAAGAACCGTTTAGCCGTTGATATGTTACTTTTGGTATAGTATTTTAGAGTAATTATTTAACATGCACCACACAGACAGCCTCTGGCATTTCCTTTTTTATTTTTTATGTTATGTGTACATTATTTTTTCACAGGCAGCTGGTAATCTCCTATTTATATAGGTTTAATAAATATAAAGTATTTTGATGTTGCTATAGAATTATAGAAACATGTCTGATTCTCTGTTTCAGTGTTAAAGTCATTTGTTCAACTGTTAAAACAGTTTTTGTTTGTGACAGTTGAAGCACCATAACCACTGTTTATCAGTATCCTTTGCAGTGAGGTAGTAAAATCTGTAGTACAGTGTTCTTTTTGCTCCAAGACCGACTCCAAATCCTACTTACATTATGTTCTTTTTAAGAGCTTTATAAAAAAAACAGCATCTATTGCAGTCAGGTAGTGAGATCTGTATTTTTTTCAGTTGAGAAAAAATTTTTTTTTTTTTTTTTATTACCAACCAACAACGATGAATTTGGACTTCTGGTTAAAACAAGGAACTATCGAGAAAAATACTACTTCTAACTGTTTGACACTTATAGAAACCGAGAAAGACGATACAACAAGAAATCAAGAAAACTGGTCCGAAATAGTTGAATCTACTGTTTCTCAAACAGAGACAAGTGTCAAGTCAAAGAAAAAAAGGAAAGCACACAATGCTACCCAATCTGCTTCTCAAACAAAGAAAAGAAAGTATGATGACCGTTATTTATCATTTGGATTCACAAGTGCCAGAAATAAAAATATTCCTCAAGCACAATGCATACTTTGCAAGAAAATATTGCCAAACCGTTTAGCACCTGCTAAATTACTCCGTCATTTTGAGCAAAACCACGCAGAGTACAAAGATAAAAACATTGGCTTTTTTTAAGCGAAAGCTTTAGGAGTATCATAAGATGAAACAGTTTATGAGCAAAATATTTAAAAATGATAATGAAAAAGCCACTCATTAAAAGCTTTGTGCTACAGTGCAAATTGTTTTGGGGGGGTTCAACGATGTTCTTCTACTATGTCAAAGGGTTCCACAGGAAAAATTAATTGGGAACCACTGCTCTAAGAGATCCAGGACAATAAAAGAGTTATATTCCCCTCCCCATTATATGGTATGGGTTGGTATACATGTAGTCATACATAACCAGGAGTGAAAATTTTGGTTATGAGTCCTACTGAGATGGCACAGTTTACTTTAATTTAAAAAAAATTAAAAATAATAAACCTAATACTGCAGTCAGAAGGTTCCAAGTAGATAATGTAATATGCTAAAGAATAGTATAAACTATAAAATTAACTTGTTAATATATGCCAACATAAACAAATATTTATGGAGCCATGAGAATAAAAAATAAATAAAAAGCAAAAACAAACAAACAAAAAAATTAAAATATTATTTATATATATATATATATATATATATATATATATATATATATATATATATATAATATGTAAGGCCTGTAGTTGTGGGAGGGGCTTGTCTGGTCTATAAATTCACAGGCATCCTCTTCCTCTCATAGAAATGCAGGAGACATTTTGGGCCGGTCGTATCGGGATAAACATATATATGTCTATGGTACCCGGCAGATCAGAGTCGTCTGTTTGCTTGTGGTTTTGCTACCGCTCTACAAAGCACCTTGGGAACCAGGTAGGTGCAGGGATTGAAAATTGAAAATCCATTAAAGCGGCACTGTCATGCCGAATCCCGTTTTTGGTTTTTTTAACCCCCCTCCCCACTCCACTACATCCAATTGACCCACTAGTCACCCTCAAATGCCCCTAAGCCCCCCACATTACCTATTTTTTAATCCTTATTTTCTGCCCCGATCTTTATTCAGGGAGCCGCCATCTTTGTGTGGGTAGGTGAAGTCCCTGTGGGACACGTCATCAGCCCACACTAGGCAGACACTGAGATTCCCGCACATGCCCAGTGAAACACCTGGACATGCGAACGGGAATTTCATCTATTCACTCATTCATCAGACAGACGAATGAGTGAATAGACATATCAGCCAAACAAACAAACACAATGTATCAGTGTATGTTTGTTCGTGCAACTTATTACAGGGAGGGAGCTACCGGCGTGCAGCTCCCTCCTTGTAATATGTAAAGATAGAAGCAGCAGGGAGCAGTGCTCCCCACCACTTCATAAGCCCCCCCAGTACCCCCTCTCACTCTATGGGGGTCAATATGACCCCCATAATAGCACAAGAGAGATTAAAATCTCCCAAATGCCCCTACTCGCTATACAGCGAGTAGGGGCATGTCTACTAAACAGTGAGCAGCCTGTGGCTGCTCACTGTTGAAAAAAAATGACAAATTACAATAAGGGGGGCGGACTTATTGTCCTCCCCCCCTCCCCCACCCTGAGCGGTGGGTGGGGGCCCCAGTAAAACAATAAGGGGGGGGGTACCTACTGTCCTCCCCCCCTGGCCCCCACCCCTGCGCGGTGGGTGGGGGCCCTAATAAAACAATAAGGGGGGGGGGACCTACTGTCCTTCCCCCCAGCCCCCACCCCTGAGCGGTGGGTGGGGGCCCTAATAAAACAATAAGGGGGGGGGCCTACTGTCCTCCCCCCCGCCCCCACCCCTGAGCGGTGGGTGGGGCCCTAATAAAACAATAAGGGGGGGAACCTACTGTCCTCCCCTTGCCCCCACCCCTGAGCGGTGGGTGGGGGCCCTAAATAAAGATATGGGGGGGGGAACGTCTGGCCCCCACCCCTGCGCGGTGGGTGGGGGCCCTTATAAAACAATAAGGGGGGGGGACCTACTGTCCTCCCCCTACCCTGGCGTGGTGGGGGGCTAGTAAAACAATAAGGGGGACCTACTGTCCTCCCCCACAGCCCCCCCCCTGGCGGTGGGTGGGGCCCTAATAAACTGTAAGGGGGGACCTACTGTCCTCCCCCTAACCCCACCCCTGGCGGTGGGTGGGGGCCTAAATGGCTGCAATCAAGGTGACTAGGGGTCCCAAGCCCCTAGTCACCCCCCCCACCCAAAAAAACTTATCCCCTACCTACCCCCCTCACCCTAAAAATAGTGAGGGGGGAATAAAATAACTAAACTGTAAAAAAAAAAATAAACTTACCATTTGACGTCTTATTTTTTCTAAAATCTTCTTTCTTCAGCCCCCAAAAAGGTCAAATAAAAATCCATTATACCCGTCGCACTTAAAAAAAAAAAAAAAACGAGCGCAAAAAAAAATTAATCCATGTTCGCCCTTCAAGGGCACGCCGCAGACTGAGCTCCGCAGGGCGGGTCAAGGCTTATAAAGCCTTGCCCCGCCCTGCAATTAGGCTTAGAACACTCTGATTGGTGGGTTTAAGCCAATCAGAGTGTTATGAGTAATTTTACACAGCGTGGGAAATTTTAAAACAATTCCCCTTATTGTTTTATTAGGGCCCCCACCCACTGCGCAGGGGTGGGGGCCAGGGGGGGAGGACACTAGGTCCCCCCCCTATTGTTTTATTAGGGCCCCCCCGCGCAGGGGTGGGGGCCAGGGGCCGGTCCCCCCCCCCATCTTTATTTCGGGCCCCCACGGGGGGGGGTATATTGTTTTGTTGTTTGTTTTTTTACAGTGAGCAGCTATATGCTGCTCACTGCTTACTACACATGCCCCTACTCGCGGTATAGCGAGTAGGGGCATTTAATTTACTAATACTAAGTAATCTTTACTTAGTATTAGTAAATGTGGCTGAAAGACCAATTTAGGTCTTTCAGCCTTTTAGTAGATAGCTCCCTGATACCGTGGGAATTAGGGAGTTATCTACTAAGCGGCTGCAAGATGCAGCCACAGCAATGAATAGGATCAGAGTTTCATTCATTAGAATGAAATTCCGATCCGAATAAAGTGCCGAATTGCGTTCTAAAAGAAACGAACAGACTGTTCTCATTCAGTTAGAACGCAATTCGGCAGTTTTGTGTAAAATGACAGGAAGCATTGTGGGAACACAGAGGGAAGGTAAGGATCATGGGAAAATTGCTCTGACCAGCGGAAATGAAGCACACTTTGCTCCTCCGCTGGTCAGAGCTGGTCAAGCGGAGGAATCCTCCATAAGGCAAAGAGTCCCTACTTTGTCTTATGATTTTAAAGAAAACTAAAGAAGACAGGAAGAAAAGAATAACAGATCCTGAGAGAGGGGGAGAAGAGGAAGAGATTGAGGAAAGGTAAGTTCGGCATGACAGTGCCGCTTTAAAAAGTAAGTGCTTACGTGCAAATACTCTTAGAACAGTAATAGGAAGGGAGTACAGATAAGACATAGGGATGAGCGTCATGTACACATAACAAATAAGTTTCAAGGTAAGAGAGAACAAAATGATTAGAGCAGAGACATCTTAGGTGGGGGCTCTCTGCTCCCGGAACTTAGACATATATGGTCTTAAGTGTTGTTTAAGCATCAACAATTTCCTGAGTCCAATTTAGCCAATTTTAATATAGGATATCATTATATGACACCTATAAGCTTGAGCATTGGAATCAAGATAAATTCTATCACAAATTCTATCACATGTGAACCTGCATTCTTTTAGTAGTATTTATTTTATCTGTTCATTATTTTTTCATTATTTGTGCCTTTCAATGGTATTAGATACTCTCATGGAGTAGGATCACAGACTCATTGGATAGTGGATAAGAGTAGAAAGATAGGGAAGAGTTTAAAAAAAAAAGACAAAGATAATTGCCATAGAATCCTTCTAATGAGCTGTCACACGCACTGTAAATAAAGTATTTACAGGCATAACTAAAGCAATTCAATTTGCCTGAGAAACTCTGTTTATCCTTATGCATGTTTGATTTCATTTACTCTGAAAAGTTTTTTAGATTTATTTTATTCTAATGCAGAGATGTGTTTTTATTTCAATTTTGCTTTGAATTTTTTTTCTTACTCTTGCCCCTGTACCTTGATACTAAATTTCACCTCTGTCCTTGTGTTACCTCATTGTTTTATTTCTTTGCAGAGATGCTGCACCCATATGGACTCATTCCCAAGTGATGTGAAAGGCGAGAGGAAGCCGTTTTAAAATTAAGACATGATGAACCATCAATCAGATGACGTGCCTTGTATGCAGAGCAGTCTCCTGGGCTCCCATAGCTCTGTGCATGAAGTCCAGTCAATCAATAGTGCGGAACTGGTTGCCAGACTAGAATCTTACGAAGGCTCTGGAAAAAAAGGAATTTCTGATGTCAGAAGAACATTCTGTCTGTTTGCAACTTTTGACCTACTGTTTGTTACATTACTCTGGATTATTGAGCTCAATGTGAGTAAATCAGAATTTTAAAGGTATATTTAAAGGAATACTGTAGTGCCAGGAATGCACAACTGTATTCCTGGCACTACCACTCCCCCCTCCCTCGTCCCCCTCCATGGTAAATAAAGGCTTAAAAGCCCTTTAATTACTTATCCAATCCCAGTACTGATGTTGTTCGGAGCTGGGGCGACGCTCGACCCCTGTCCCGCGATGAGCAGGGTGTAATGCGCACGTGCGGGCAAATGTCGCGCGTGTTAGACCTCCCTATTGGAAAGCATTGAATCAGTGCTTTCCCATGTGGAAAATCTGATGCTGGAGGTCCGATAACGGACTAAAGCTCTGTTTTAATTCATGAAGTGCCCTAGTGGCTGTCTGGTAGACAGCCACTCAAGGCAGACTTAGAGCTGCAATGTAAACATTACAGTTTCTATGGAGCACTAAGTGCAAAAGGGACAGTGCACCCAGACCACTTCAATTAGCTGGAGTGGTCTGGGTGCCTACAGTGTCCCTTCAAATCCATCTGTGGAAGCCTTTATCAGATCGGGTTTTCTAAAAATTGGATTGGACCCTCACAAAGGAGGCAACACCTTCTCTGTAATGTCAGTGAGGGAGGAGAGGTTAGCAGTGTGAAGGGATGCCTTGGCACTGGAATAATGTAAGTAAAACCAAGTTGTTTTTTTTTGTTTTGTTTTTTTTGCTCCTGGGGTGGACCTATTTAGAGCTAGTGGAAGAGACATTTAGTGTTAGCAATACAGGTTTGTATTCATAACGCTATAGTGTTCCTTTAAAGGTAAAATTTAGTGATCTCTTCTTTATGGAAAGCAAAACTACTTCTGTGATGCAGGTTTGCCCAGGGGCGGATCCAGAACCAAATCTCGGGAGGGGCACTGGTGGTGGGCTGTAGTATAGGGGTTTGGGGCTGTAGCGGGTTAGGGGGCTGTAGTAGAGCATCGAGGTATGTGTTGGGGGTAGGGGATTATAGTGGAGGGATGGGGCTCTAATTAGATGAAATGGCATTCACAGACACCTACACTGGCATACAAACACACACAAAGATACAAACATGAACCTACACAGGCATACACACATACCTACCCATACGCACAGCAGCACACACAGATACACATTTACAATAAACACATACATATACATACAGATAAACACACACACACTGGCACACGCACAAAGATGCACACACATACCTACAGATACATACACTATTTACACACTGGCACACAGATACAGCACAGCTTCCCTGTGGCCGCCACCCCTGCTCCTTCTGCGGCCGCCACCCCTGCTCCTTCTGCGGCCGCCACCCCTGCTCCTTCTGCGGCCGCCACCCCTGCTCCTTCTGCGGCCGCCATCCAGGCTCTTTCAAAGGCCGCCATCCCTGCTCCTTCTGCGGCCGCCAGAACAGCTCCTCCATCGGCCGCCATCCCTGCTCCTTATGCAGTCGCCAGCACACCCAGCTCTCTGCCTTGCACAACCCCCTGCCGGTCGCCCACAGGTAATATGTGTAATGCTGTCAGTGTATGTGTGTGTGGCTGTGCTGGCGGCCGCTGGAGGAGCTGTTCTGGCGGCCGCAGGGAAGCTGTGCTGTCTCTGCTCCCTCTGCCCTCACGCGCTACTGAATGAGACTGGGGCCGGAATAGGACGTTGCTTCCCTGCTCCTTCTGCGGCCGCCATCCAGGCTCCTCCAAAGGCCACCATCCCTGCTCCTTCTGTTGCCGCAAGAACAGCTCCTCCAGTGGCTGCCATCCCTGCTCCTTCTGCAGCCGCCAGCACACCCAGCTCTCTGCCCTGCACGACCTCCTGGCCGGTCGCCCACAGGTAATATGTGTAATGCTGTCAGTGTGTCTCTGTCATGGTATGTGTCTGTCTTGTGTCATGGTGTGTGTCTCTGTCATGGTTTGTGTGTGTGTCTGTCATGGTGTGGGAGTGTGTGTCTGTGTCATGGTGTGGGAGTGTGTGTCTGTCTTGTCATGGTGTGTGTCTGTGTCCTGGTCTGTCTGTCTTGTCATGGTGTGTGTCTGTGTCATGGTTTGTCTGTGTCCTGGTGTGGGTGTGTCTGTGTCATGGTTTGTCTGTGTCACGTTGTGTGTCTGTCTGTGTCACGTTGTGTGTCTGTCTGTGTCACATTGTGTGTCTGTCTGTATCACGTTGTGTATCTGTGTCACGTGTGTCTGTTGTGTGTGTGTGTGTGTCTTGTGTGTGTCATGTTGTCTGTATGTGTGTGTCTGTGTCATGGTCTGTCTGTGTCATGGTCTGTATGTGTCTGTCGGGGTATGTGTCTGTCGTGGTGTGTGTGTGTCTGTCGTGGTGTATGTGTGTGTGTGTTTTAAAAATAGTGTTTTTACTCCCCCTTTTTTTTTTTCACACGTCATGCTGGTCTCCCCTCAACTGGCCCTGCATTGAATCAATGTATCTCTATGGGGAACCTTCAGCGGCTCCAAAGCATGGAGGCCCTGAAAGTAGGTGCTGCACACTGTGCAGCACTGACACAGGAAGCACCTCTAGTGACTGTCTGAGTGACTGTCACTAGAGGTGACACTAGGAAGCAATGTAAACACTGCCTTTTCACTGAAAAGTCAGTGTTCACATTGAAAAGCTTGCAGCGACAGGCTATACACACCAGAACCACCATTCAGCTGTGTGTGTGTGTCTCTGCTAGTGATTGAGCTTGTGTTTTTATGTCAATGAACTTATGTATATCAGTGAGATTGTTTGTCTATGAGACTGTGTATCAATGAGCTTGTGTGTGTCAGTGAGATTGTCTGTGTCTGCATGTGAGAATGCTTACTGTATAATTACACGTTTTACTATGAAAGGACCAATATTATTTATATATATATATATATATATATATATATATATATATATATATCCACACACTGATGCACACACTGGCACATACAAAGATACACACATACATACCTACACATGCACACACTTGCACACACATACTGGCACACAGATACACACACACACTGATACACACCTAAACATACACACTGACACACACATTGCAGTTGACATATTATTAACCACCCCCTGCTTCCCATACATTTTGGTTCCAGGGAGGTGAATTCCTGGAGCTGGCTGAGGCTGATGTGATGGGAGTCTGCCTGCAGAGCTCTTTCTCCTCCCTCTTCCTCTCTGAATTTCTTCAGTTTTCCCAGCCTGTGTGGTCAGTAAGCTGGGAGGAAGCAACAGTCACTTCCTCCCAGCACTCTGCTCATATTAAAGGGGCTCGGTCTCTACAAAATTTAAATGGGACAGTGTCTGGTGGTAGGTAGTTCTGCCTACAGGAGCCGCTCTATTTTTCTCGGGGGAGGGGAAGGGGCAATTGCCCCGTTGCGCCCCTCCCCCCAGATCCGCCACTGGGTTTGCCCTGCATAGACACTGCACAGGGCAAAAATATGTGACACTGGTTATTGCATGATCCATAGAATGTCATAATTATTTTGGAAAAATACCATGCCAGCAATACCATATATGTTACATAGTGGTAAGTACTTCTTGGAATTTAGAGTTAAAATTCTAGGGCCTGTTAAAATCTATTCTTTAATTAATGAATGTCATGGTAATTGAGTCATTTTTTTCTGCTTGTTATTAGGATATAGTGAGCAATCTAGAAAATCATGAAATAGAGTTTTTAAAGATAATGGAACAAATGGAAATGTTTTAACCCAGAATGAATACATCTGTTTTGGGAGATGGGCAGTGTTATTAAAGGAACACTCTAGGCACTATAACCGCCACAGCTCGCTGTAGTAGTTATGGTGCCAGTAGTGCTCTGACTTCCCCATCAAGAGGAGTCAAAGTAAGGACCTTGCACTCTTGTTTCAAAAATGATATAATCACAGAATAAGCGACTGCTGTAACATGAATTGCTTTTTATCTTATTAGACGCATGGCATTTTGGATGCCTTACAGAGGGAAGTCCTACAGTATGACTACTATACTTCATTTTTTGACATCTTTGTAAGTATTTTTCCTAGGGTTTTAGATCTTATTAAGGTTCCATGCATGTTTGATTTTACAATATTGTGAAACATTTAGGGTTGCACACCTCCCAACAATCAAGAGGGGAGAAACGGGACACAGTGGGCTGAGCCTTTAGGGGCTGTCAACAGTGATGCGACCCACATCATTAGGGACGCTCATAATGGAAGGGGAAACCATCACCTGACAGCCTGCCTGGCCCATAGCCTTTAGGACTAATGATGAACTATGCTGCCTGGGTATAATTCCACTATCAGTGGCGCAGTCTTGCTTTAGTTCGCTAGTGCCCTGCATCTGTTGACACCAGGGAACTAAAATGGGACTGTGCCACCAAAAATGGGACTGTTGGGAGTCCTAATTTGGCAGGTCCCGGTGATTCCTGTCCACTTTAAAAGTGAAATCACCTCTATTCTTTTGTAACCTAGTGGGAGGCTCCATCTATAATACCCACCCCGTTGCCTGACGTCTGCTGTTCTTTTTGAGGCTAGACTTACTGAAACCTATCCAATTGTAATTCTGCATTTTTATTTACTAGGGTATAGACAAAATTTAATACAGAGCCTCTTTTATGGTAAGCTAATCCATTTATAGGTGTCATCTGATATATTCCCAGGCTTTAGCTATGAATGAGACAGTTGTATCACTATGTAGGTTGAAAAAAAGCAGGTAAATATGACTTTTTTCCATATGTACTTGCCTCTTCTAACTTATACGTTCCACACCCACTCCAGGGAAGACCCTGATCTGACCGATTAGTGTCCTATCCCTAGGAATGCTGGACAAGTGCATTTGGCATCACTGACAGATTTACACATATGCAACTGGAATATCTATTTACCTTGCAATAGGGGGTCGAGAGAGGGAGTCTGATCAGTGTGACCATGCAGTGAAGGCTCTGTTATTGGGTTTCAGTTTCCTGCTGCCACACAACAAATATTCTGTTTCTGTGGACTGGTCTAAAACTGAGATGGGTGGCAACGAGGGAGGTGAGGGGACTGAAAAATTCATCTAGCTGAGTATTTAGTGCATCAATGCAAGTTTATACTACGTTTGTAAGCGTTTTATTAAATAGTTTTCAAAGTTTTGCTTGATTTATATAGGTTTGCATCTTTGTCTAAAAGTGTTTGTTTTAAAAAAAATGTTTAATGCAAGTCCCTTTTAAAGGGTAGCGAGGTTTTAAGCTCCTTTTGCCTCTTCTTGTGTTTTCATTGACAAAACTGTACAGATTTTTATTTGTTTGTGTATTTCTAATTATGAATAATTCTGAGTAAACCCACAGCCACGAGGAGGTTGAAATTAACATTACTACTTTGAAGCATCCAGTTGTATTGACTAGATATATATGTAAATATATAGTTAAATTGCATACCATCTTTTGTGATTTGAGAGGTCAGCGATGTCACTCTGAATGTTTATAAACTGCAAGGGAGATGGCAAAACAGGTGCTATTTTGGGTGATAGACATTTTATTGGTTCCCATGGTGATTACTCATTATTTGAATATTTTCCACACAACAGCACCTGTCTTTGTCTTAATTCATTTTCCTCTACAGGGACTGAGAAATTGTGGGGGAAACGAATTCACAAATATCTGGCATGCAAGGGTTAGCAATCCTTTTCATAGGTGTACTACATTTTCCTGAAAGATAAGTCCTGCGCTCACACCCATCACTGAGCAGCAGCAAAGACTACAGTACACATCAGCCCCAATATATAGTAAAAACCAAAGAAAAACAAGTCACTTGCGCTTTCTCCTTAATCCCTATGTATTTTTAAACAAATGGAGGTTTTTTAGTTACCTCCAATGACCATGAGAGGATAAGCCCACCTGCCAAGTCAAGGCAGACCCCCCCAGGTGGGTCCTAACTCTAACCATTCACCATGCTTCCTTGAGCTTCTGGCAAAGATCTCTGATTAGACAGAAAGGGGTATTTTCTATATACACCCCTATATATTATTAACCCTTAATAGGGAACACATGAGATTGGCGGCTGCATTGTAACAAGGCTGAGTGATACAAAAATATATACTATATGGTTTTTACTATATATTGGGGCTGATGTGTACTGTAGTCTTGCTGCCGCCCAGTGATGGGAATGAGCGCATGACTTATCTTTCTGCATTTGAATCCATTTTTTGAATCACTCAGCCTTGTTACAATGCAGCCGCCAATCTCATGTGTTCCCTATTAAGGGTTAATAATATATAGGGGTGTATATAGAAAATACCCCTTTCTGTCTCATTAGAGATCTTTGCCAGAAGCTCAAGGAAGCATGGTGAATGGTTAGAGTTAGGACCCACCTGGGGGGGTGGGGGGGGAGTCTGCCTTGATGTTGGTAGGTGGGCTTATCCTCTCATGGCCATTGGAGGTAACAAAAAAATATCAATTTGTTTAAAAATAGATAGAGATTAAGGAGAGAGCGCAGGTAACTTGTTTTTCTTTGGTTTGTACTACATTTTCCTGTTGCCAGAAACAACAGTCTGTCATTTTACAGCTGCACAGAGATCTAATTTAACTCTGTTTATTTTCCACAGTTGCTATCAGTCTTTCGATTTAGCATGCTGATTATTGCATATGCAATGTGCAAACTGCGCCATTGGTGGGCTGTAGCGGTAAGTTCCAATTGGTTCACACTATAAAAAAACAACTCACAATGTATTTCTTTAGCAATATCTGCATAGTCATGTGTGAACTGTTTTTCTTTAGTTTTCTCTGATTTCTTTGTTCTTAATTTAAAAAGTTTGGTATAGGCAAATTCACTATATGTATAAATTTACTATATGGGGTAAAATAAATGACTTTGGTTTCTTTAGTTAACAAAAAATGCTCTGTCTGCTTATTCGTGTGCATGTGATGTGCTTAGCCTGCTAAAAATCTCACATTTACATTGCATCAGTAATGTGTGAACAGGAGCTTCATATTATGTCCTGTTTGAGGAGCAGGAAGAGAGGCAGCAAGTTGGTCAGATGCAAGCTATAGTAGTAAACATGTCAAATGGAGTTTATCCTCCTCAAAATGTGTTTTAAAGTTGGTCTCGTCTCCCATGCAATAAAATGGTGTAGAATGACTCCATAAGGTGCCGTTGTGTGTCTACATCAGTGATAATGTCTTTGTTTTATACATATACACACAGACAGAACAACGCTCTTATTTCTGTTGTTTTTGCCAAACACCTGCAGAGTGTGATCACTACAGAAAGTAAAGCAGAGAGACAAGATAAATGTACATTTAATAGTGCCAGGAGCTCTATCACAAGGCTGTAGCTGAATTCCTTTGAATGCCAACTAATTTGTTAGTGTTCACAGTGCATCCTCTGATGACAAGACAGAGCATTCCCAGTTATAGGTCTTCCTGGAACCAGCAGGATCTATCCCTGCTTGTGGAAAGCAGCTGATCATTCCTTGCTCTTATAAATGTTTGTGACCTTTTCTCAGAATGACCTCATTATGTGAAAATATCAAAAGCACAAAACGGTTCCTTAACTTGGATTACAGACCGATAGATCAAATTATATCATTTGTACTAACAGGGGCATTGCAAGCAAAATAATTTAGTATATCCACTTGTGAGCTTGCCTGAAAACACATGCAATTATATGTATTGTTAATTTAATCATATTAAAACCCACTGACATTTTTGGGGATTTTATGAAGACTGAAATCTGCTTGTGAATAAGGCCTGCCAAGTTTTTTATGTATGGGTTTTTTGTTTTTACTTTTTGATTAAACTGTCATTTTTATATTTTCCTTCTGAGTGATTTATTCCCACCTTTATAATCCAAACAATTATACGTTTAACATGCACCTAATTATAAAATGTATACATATAAATTGCAGTTAACTGGTTTTTGTTTTTTATAGATCACTACATCAACTACATGTGCCTTCTTGTTAGTAAAAGTAATTTTATCTAAGGTATGTTATTTTTTACTTAAGCATTCGTTTCTATTCGTACCTTCAAATAAAGTGATGCACATTGTTTGTGTTTTGATTTTAGCTCTTCTCTCAAGGTGCTTTTGGTTATGTCCTTCCTATCATGTCCTTCATTCTAGCCTGGATAGAAGCTTGGTTTCTTGATTTTAAAGTATTGCCTCAAGAAGCAGAAACAGAAAACAGTGAGTTAGTTTTGTTTTTTTTTCTTTAAATTTGAATATTGCTTTCATTGTAACCTGTATTACTTCATGTGGTCTATTTACTAACTCTTACATTTTAGCTGACGGGATAGATGCTTGAAATTCTGTCAAGATAGATTCTATTGGACACTGACTCTTCAGTAAGTATTGAGTGGGTGCTGTCCATACAGCTCATCACTTTGCTCAGTTGTCCTTTATTGGCTTCGTTAGCTGTTCCCAAGGGTCTACGTAGAGGAGAAAGAAAAGCCTGAAACTTGGTGAAAGGACCATTCTCACTGGCCCAGAGAACATGCGCATATGCAAGGGTGGGAGAAAATCTGGTAAAATATATATACATATAAAAATAATTTTAATTTTTATATTACATAATAGTAATAAAAAAAAAGAAGAATTAAAAAAAAAAGGGGTACATTAACTGATGCAGGAAGGCAGACAAGGCTGTAATAAGGGATGGAGGTTTTCTGCCGGCAATGGTAGAAGCTGATAACGTCTGTTGTCAGCTTGCTGTGCATGTTGACGACAGACATATTTTTTTCCAGATAGTTGACATTAGGCTGCCTAAATTATGTGTGCCCCGCCCCCTGGAACAAAAATGTGCAGAAATGCTTCACATACAGATTACTACTACCATGACCTCTTCTAAAAGCAGCAGTGGTCAAGATGGTTTGACTAACCCTTTAAAAGCTTGCAGGATCCATTTCACACTCACTAGGGTTACTTTTTCAATCAACAGTGGCTGGAGGCAATTGGAAATGTTGAGTCCTACACAGGGGTTGTAGCAGAATATTTATCTTAATAATAATAATAGTACACGGTTATGAAATTCACAAAATTGCAGAGTGTGTTTGAAAAATATAGAAACAAAATTGTTAGACTGCTAGACTCAATATTAATTGTTACAAAGGCCCAATGCCCCATGTGAACTAGCCCAAGTTGGTATTTTTTTTTGAATGACGGAGACCCTTGAAACAAGGGGATCCCAGAAGTAGCTGCTGAACTTAACAGAATAAATAGTATAGTTACCAGGTGGCAAGTAGAGAAAATAAGCTCCTGGCGACGGCGTGTATGCACGCTGAAACGCGCGTTGAGCGCCTTATTTGATTTATCTTTTTCTTTCTCACATTAGGTAGCACTTAGGTAGTTAGTATGTTTGATTTAGTTAGTTAGTATAGTTAGCCATTTATTATTTGGCATTTAGAGTTTTCTCTAGGCAGGCATTTTTTGGTCCTGGGGGTTTCCTCTGGACTTAGGGCTTGTCCTTAGTGGGTCTGCCCCTGTCCTCCTTTGCTCTCTTTTCTCCTATTCATGTTTGTATAGGCTCCTGTTTGCTTGCCTTTATATTAGTGGGGTGATTTATGTATTACACATATTTTGTGTTGCCTTATTGTATTTTTGCAACTTAGGTGTCCTAATTTTGGAAATATTTTCTAGTATGAATGCTAGAGTCTCCTTTCTTTTTTTGTTTTTTTTGTTAAAGGGACATTCCTTTGCTGCTATTAAATACAACTAGCAGTGGTTTATATAGGGTATACATGGGTATTTCTATTTATCCCCCTTCACCCTTTTATCCATTTACAAGTACAGCCCCCTCTTTTTCTCTACTTGCCACCTGGTAACTATACTATTTATTCTGTTAAGTTCAGCAGCTACTTCGGGGATCCCCTTGTTTCAAGGGTCTCCGTCATTCAACTATATTTATTTCTGGGTTACCCCCTATATTGTAGCTCTGAGGTAGGCTCTTTTTAAGACAGCTCTCACCAATTCACATCTTTTTGTGATTATGGGGATCTGTCTTTTCATTCCTTTTTACACTTTTGGTATTTTTTTTGCAATTGGAATGTCCGTTACATTGGACGTAACTTTCAGTTGGGTTTTCCTATTTTGCACAACAGGTATTATAGACCCAGTTAGTCAATCGGGTTATAGTGAGAGGTGAAAAAGAAACTAGTAAAGCAGGAAAGAGACAGAAAGCAAGGGTATGGAGATTGAGGGTATCATAGATTTAGAAAAGGGGGACAGAGAGAAACACAGTGTGAGAAAGGAATTGGGAAAAGGAAAAAAAAAAAGAGAATTGGAAACTGTCAGAGGTAGAAACAGGAGAGGCAGTCAGGAGGGGATATCTGAAACACACTCCAAGGCAGCAAACTTTATTTATTTCTAGGGTGATAATTCTTCCATGGTTCCTGGATGTAAATCTGTGTTAACTAGTACTATACAATATATTATAATAGAAAACTCAAATACTTCATAAAATATTCAGAATCCATATACTGAACTACTGAGTTAAAGGCCTGTATATGTGAATACGCTAAATACCTTTTAATAATACCAGTGACTAGAAGGGAATAACAGACTCTGTGCATATTACACCCATACTCTAAATTCCTCATAATGACTATATTATATGATCACATATAACCACAACCGTTATTAGTATTCTAACTTGTACTGTATTTTCTTGTTATGTTTACAATGCTTGCAGTAGGTACTTGATATCTAATTACATTGAAACCTGTTCTGTATTGTTTATGATTTACTCTGGCTAATGAGCTCACTATTCCCCTGTGTTTTTATTTTGTACCCAGTGAAATTCCATGGGATATGTAGTTGTATTTGTGCAGTGCTGTATCTACTTCTACGAGAACTGTTGCGTTATTTTAGATCAAGGGATCAATAAGCAGCCCTTAAGCTTTTCACATATTTTAACATGTTAACTCATCTAAAAGGAGGAGGGAGGGCTTCACAATATGAATGTGGTGGAGTTTATAGGACACCAGTATATAGAAGGGAAGTCAATCTCTACCATACAACATCTACCAAAGTTGACGTCACTGGTAGAGGCAAACCTACCCTGTACCAAAAGGAGACTCCAGGGGCCTAACCCTGAGTTATTTAGAGGGGAAAAAAAAGCAAACAAACACAGAGCATACAAATGTTAAAAAACAGATGTATCGAACTGAGTACATCTGGAGATAATAAAGTAGTCTATAGCAAATTATGGCATATATGAAGAAAGAGCTAGATATCCCTATATAGAAATTAAAAAATAGAAATGACAAACCCTGGATGATGATAATGTATCATGTATCTGTGAAAGCAGTACTATTGACAACTACTATGGGCTTTAATATATCAGGCTCAATGTTGTCGCTGCTATATTAAACTAATACATCAAACAGGGAAAAGAAAGAATACATATATTAAATAAAATTAAATAGCTACCACTGCAAGCGAAGCCTCTTAGTATAGCTCCAACGGCAGTCCCAGTCAATGTATAAACTTATACGTTGACCTCAGGGTGCCAGTGTATAGGGTATTTGCTGACACAAATTACATCAAAGGTAAATAGAGGCTATAGGTGAATATATAGTAAGAAGGGGTATATAGCATAGATATTGTGAAGCTTAGAATGCTCACAACATATCTATGAAAAGAGTATTAGCCAGAAAAATATATATGCTCACAACATATCTATGAAAAGAGTATTAGCCAGAAAAAAATATATATATATATATATTTTTATTTTTTTTCTGGTTAATATTCTTTTCATAGATATGTTGTGAGCATTCTAAGCTTCACAATATCAATGCAATATACCCCTTCTTACTATATATTCACCTATAGCCTCTATTTACCTTTGATGTCATTTCAAGGACGTGATGCTACTGGTGTTCACTGTATCCTTGCTACATGTTTCGTGCGCTCACTTCCTCAGGTTAAAATGACATAGATAGTCCAGTGACATTTTCTCCCTGAGGAAGTAAGTGCATGGCTCACGAAACATGTAGGAGCGAGGATACAATGAACACCAGTAGCATCACGTCCTTGGACTACCTGAGTGCCCGTACCACGATACTCCAGTTACTTAGTACGCACGCAAATCGGAGAGACGCTGAAGCAGAGGGACATGCACACCTAACAGGATCCACACCAAGTACAGCACAGTAAGCAATATTGTGATACACCGAAGGATTCCTGGGACATTTATTTAATAGCTTACGTTACAGTATCTTAAGGGATCCCTGAGATTGAAAAAAGCAATATATACATAACAAGCTGGATGAATATTGCAGGACTCTAGCCCACTTCTATACGCTACACATATGCTTATTTTGAGCTAGGTATCATATTATTTGGATATTTTTTATGCCCTATTTTTAGGAGTATGTGTATATATATTCATTCTAAGTATTTCTATGTTTTTTTTATCATTCTCAATAAAGTGTTTTATTTATATACAAACTCTACTTCCCTCTACGCTCATTTTGTTTTTTTATGTTATCTTGTTCTCCAGTATGGGATTCATTTAAATATCAGTATTGTTTCATTTAGAATTTAAATAAATAGAAATTACTTTCTCAAGGCACGGGTTCTTAGGAATTCTTTTTTGACCTGCAGGGTAACTTCTCCATAAAGGTTGAGAAACACTGATTTATAATTTCTTAGTCTTTATTAAATGTTCATATATTTAAGACATACATATACAGGTACAAAAGATATACGAAACATATACAGTTTTAATACTAAATTCAATTTATACAGTAGAGATAATCACAAACCGATAAGAGTGCAGAGAGAGTATACCCAAAGAGCCAAAAGAGATAATTGAATCGGGTCCTGAAACACTGATTTAAAGAACATAACTTCAGTTTCACCATTTCTCACTCAAAGTCAGAAGTCTTAATCCATCCTCGCATGACATCATGTGGTCATTAAAAACTAATTCTGTGAACAAATGCAATCACTGATAAGCACACTAACAGGGGAAAATCTGCCCCTACTATCAGAATCCTACATGCTACACATTCTCCCAATACCACTAGACCGATTCCAAAGCTCCATGATCATACTGATTCTACTTGCTGCCAAAAACATCACCACCCAATGCTGTAAATCCCTAGAACCTCCGTCTTTGAAAAGGGTACTGGAGAAACTTAATTACACCAGGCATTATGAAGAAATAACGCACAACATGCTACACACCCAACACATATTCACAAAAACCTGGGCACGATGGCAATTCATAGCTCACCTTATGGAGTAAACACTACCTCAGGAAATATCCCCTCAGTAGAGCGGGGCCCATAATTGATAAAGTGTCGGTTCTTAGCAGTATCTAATGTAGTTCTATGTATCTCTATGGTTATTTATGCATTTGTTCACCTTTTAAATTTCCCCCTTTATGATTTATGTTCTAAATTCATTAGAGTTACACCTGCTTACTGAATTGTTACTCATGAGACCGACAAAGACAATTCTGTAATGCTGTGCAGCTCTGTATGATGCCTACTATACAATGTCATCCCATCAATGTTGTAGCTTTATACGAGATAAGATGTTAATGTATTGTAACAATAAAATGTATGTATTTGTACTTTTCCCATTTACTAATGTAGACCAAATGATGCAAAAACCAATAAAAAACAATCACTGCAAAAATAAACTACTATTTCTGACCTTCATATTCTCACTTCAGTGTATACTGAAGTCTACTTCCTGGTTTATTTTCCATATTCCTCATTACATGTCTTTTTCTGTTATCACCATTGTCATTCTATCAACTTGTTTTTCCAATAAGTGTCTACCTCGTGAAATGACTCCCATGTAAATTCCAGTGTTTGATACCAGCTCCATACCCACTACAGTGGCCATTCCCAACCATGTAAATAATTCAACAGTGTTACTTCTTACTTGGAACTTGCCAGGCACCAGTCACTGCCACTCCTGCATGGCTGATCACTCTCAGCCAATGCCATGCACTACCGGGCTTAGTTTAAACAGAGAGCTCAATGTTTAGGTGATGGACCCCAACACCTATAACTCCAAGTGCGAGTGCAGCTCTTAAAATAAATAGAGACCCCTCAAATATATTGGGAGTTGATGTACAACATATTAGGGAAAAACAGCTTATTTATACAGTCAGGTGTATGCTCACCTTGTGTAGATCCCTATTTAAGTAACCTGCTCTAAGTTTTTAGGTGCTGTGTCAGATTTAGGTGTGACACTCCCCACTGGTACCAGGAACAAATGTATTTAAAAATCTAAATATGCAAAATTTACTCCCTCAGCTCCTTGCCAAAACGTGTTTTGCTTCGTGTCTTTCTCAATAGGCATGTTTAAAAGGCTCTAGAGAATGTGAGTTCTTATACTATACACACAAATGGTGTAAATGTTAAAAACAATATCATACTATTGTATTTTCTTTCTCTTTTTTTTAAATATGATGTACATGAGGGCTCAACAAATCCCAGGCGCCATGTCACCATGGCGACTAGAAATTTTGCCCTGGCGCCTGGAATTTGACGCTCTTTAGCTAAAGCAGCTGGATGGGGGAACAATGGAGCCGGCCTGTTGCCCTGGGTAACGTGGAGGCAGCAGGCTGGGGCAGCGTGCGAAGGAAGCAGTAATCTTCCTGCAGCTCCTCTCTGCTCCCTCGCGCTGTATAGTGAGGCTGGGAGCTGGAATATGTCATTCAAGCCCCGGCATCAGTACAGGGAGCAGAGAGGAGATGCAGATTACTGCTCCCTGGCACACAGGAAGAGAGAGCAGCCCCACTGGACCCCATGGAAATATCCACTCAACTCTCCCAAAGGCAGCACTGACACAGGTCTCTTTAGTGACTGTCTCCTTTACATTGAAAAGGCTACAGGGACAGGCTGTAGGCACCAGAACAACTACATTAAGCTGTACTGGTTCTGCTAACTATAGTGTCCCTTTAAGAATTGTATATTTCTTGTAAATTAAACTTCGCAAGTTTTACAAAAAACTGGCTCCCAACATTTTTAGCTTTCTCCTAGATTCCAAACAAAATTGTCAAGCCCTGTTGTACACCAACCCCGCTGCACTTGCACTTGGAGTTATAAGTGTTGTGGTCCATCACCTCACCATTAAGTTGATTTTTTATTTTGGGGGGTATCCACAGAGTGTTATTCAGCTGCTATTCACCAAATGTATTCACAAAGCGTCTATTGCACACAATTCTTTATTTTATTTGAGTTCAGAGAGCTTTCTGCTCTCCTAAAGGCAGTGACCTACTCCTTGCAGATCTCAGGAAGTCAAATCCATAGCAAACAGTTTGACTTACTTACATTGCTGTGCCAGGTCACTGCATGATTATCACCCTCAACTATTATGTTTCTTGATAGACAATGAAGACATAATTTGTCATTGTATGAGCTACAAGTCTAAACATACATATCTGTACTTTGTAACCTGTTGGATAGGTTAATAAAAACATTTTATTATTTGTAATATCCTTTGCATACATTGTCTAGCTGTATGTTTTTGGCACTACGTAGATTAATATCAATCGCATTTTATTAACCTTTTTTTAAGGGTTTCACAAACAAATTTATTGTCTTTTTTCCAGGGCTGAGGGTGATTAGGAGTGTATCTGAAAGAGCTGCCCTTTTGCCACCAGCACCCATATCTGAAGGACAATTTTATTCGCCACCTGAATCTCCAGAAGGTAGAGCTGATTATTTTGATTTGATTTTGTTTGTTTTTTCCTGTTACTTTTTAAAATAACATTTAACTTTTTGAAAAAAATATATATTTGGTGTAGATATCAGTTTGCATCACTTTTGCACAAACAAAATTTTTTATTTTTTTGCTGCAATTAACTTTTACATAAAATTGATATAAAAAGGTATTTCTGTCACACATAAAGATAAAATCTTTATTAACACCTTAGTGACCAGACCGTTCTTCAATTTTCTAACAGTTAAAGAATAGGGCTGTTTTCTACGGTGTTTGCGTTTAGCTGTAATTTTCCTCTTACTCATTTAATATAGCCTCACCTATTATATACCGTTTTTCTCGCCATTAAATGGTCTTTCTAAAGATACCATTATTTTCATCATATCATATAATTTACTGTAATTTATTTTATAAAATATGATGAAAAATGTAAAAAAAAAAACCCTTTTCTAAATTTGACCCCCAAAATCTTACACATCTACAACCGCCAAAAAACACCCATTCTAAATTGTTTCTAAAATTTGTCCTGAGTTTATAAATACCCAAAATACCCAATGTTAACATGTTCTTAGCTTTTTTTTGGAAAGATATAGGGCTAGAAGTACAAGTAGGGCATTGCTGTTTCAAAATATATATTTTTACAATGTATCAATAGTGACACTGTAACATCTGTCATAAATCTGAATCACACCTCACATACTTTTTTTTTTTTTTTTTTAAGTAGACAACCCAGGGTATTCAATATAGGGTATGTCCAGTCTTTTTTAGTAGCCACTTAGTCACAAACACTGGCCAAAGATAGCATTTATATTTGTTTGTGTGTTAAAAAAACAGTATTCGCAAAAAACGATTATGAATGCTAACTTTGACCAGTGTTTGTGACCAAGTGGCTACTAAAAAAGACTAAACATAACCCATTTGCAATACCTTTGGCTGTCTTCTTTTGCAAATGGTATGCCATCATTGGGGCAATTCTCATTCCTGTGCTACCATATGCTCTCAAAGGCAACATAGCCAATCTGGCAAATTTCAATGTAAAACTGAAAATCAGGCCTTTTATTTGGCTCTGTATCTTTCAAAAACACTATAACACCTGTACATGGGGGTTGCTGCTATACTCAGGAGACTTTACTGAACACAAATATTAGTGTTTCAAAACAGTAAAACGTATCAGAACAATGATGTCATCCGTGAAAGTGCTGTGTGTGAAAAATGCAAAAAAATTCACTTTCACTGACAGTATCATTACTCTGATATGTTTTACTGTTTTGAAACACTATTGTGTTCAGCAAAGTTTCCTGAGTAAAACAGTACCACCCATGTACAGGTTTTAAGGTGCTAGCAAATCAAATTCTCTGGACTTTCGGCCTGGGTTGTCAGGCAGGTTCCCCAAATTGCAATCAATAAAATTACTTAATTATGTCAAAATATTATATAAATATGCACGTGGAATTTAAATATATATAAATATTTATATATTTGAAGTTTACGTGTATATTTATGAAATTATTTATGTAATTATGTATATGGACATATATTTCGTATTTTTTAAAAATTTTATATATATATATATATATATATATATATATATATATATAGTTTCATTCTAAGTGTATTTTGATATAAATATATTAATATCAAAATACAGTTAGAATAAAATTACATATATAATTTTATTATTTTACTTTTTTTTAATATATATATGTGTGTGTGTGTGTGTGTGTGTGTGTATGTATATATATATAATATATAATACGTGTGTAATTTTACTCTAAATATATTTTTATATTAATATATATCTTAGAAAGCATGATAATTGCATAGGTGTGCCTTAGGCTGGCCACAATAAATTTATTATTTTCTCATTTTTCAAATATTGATGCACTTATACATTGCTTATTCTCAAATGTTAATTCATAAAAAAATGTACAAAGTATTTTTTATTCCCTCTTCACAAAAACAACTGCTATTGTAATAAACTGAGTAAATAGATAAAACATTCCACAAGAAATTCACAATAATCTCAAAAAATGCAATTAAAGGAACACTACAGTCACCAGAACAGCTACAGCTCATTGTAGTTGTTCTGGTGTCTATAGCCTGTCCCTGCATGCTTCTTGCTGTATATACTGTCTTTTCAGAGAAAAGGCAGTGTTTACATTACTGCCTAAGAACACCTCTAGTGGCCACTCTTCAGACAGTCACATTGATTCAATGCATCTCTGAGGAGCTGCTAATTGGCCAGGGCGCCAATTGGAAAGCATTGTGATTTGCTGAGTTCATCAATTCTGAAGATGTTGGCAAAGGAGGCGGATTGGGGGCAGGTACACTGCCAGAGCCGGCAGACCTGCACGGCGCTGGAATAAAGCTGAGCAAAATCAATTTTAAGGGGAATAAAGGTGGTGCAGCCACTTAAATAGTTAGTTTAACATTATAGAGTGAGGAATACACATTTGTGTTGCTGACCTTATAGTGTTTCTTTAAGTAAAAAGGACATGTGGCAACCCAAGGACAATCAAGTGTTGCTATTGGGTATCTACGGCGTAATTGTGCAAATATATATATATTGTGCAACATCACAAAAAATATATACAATGAGGCAAATGTGTTTGGTGAAGAAGTGGCTGATACAAATCAGTTCACAAAAATGGAACTCTATGCATAAGCTCATCTATGAACAAAGTCAATAGCAGAATGTACAAACGCATTTATCAGTCTGTGGGTGATTTACAACATCTGTGAGCATTACATGAATACATCATTTAATAATGACATAGCTTTATCAGCTGAATTATATTTTATTTATATATATATATATATATATATATATATATATATAATATGATTAATTTTAATAGATTTACTCTTTTTGGTGTATGTATATCAGCAAGTTTGTTACTTACAGTAGTGCACTTTATTGTTGTTTTTTGTGAGAGGGTGCCACCTTGTGGATCTTGTATTACATGTAAGAAAAATCATACATAATTTTAGTATGCCGCAGACAATCCCAATAGCATGTTTCAAAGAGGATATATAATTGTTACTGTGCAGTTTCCCAAGGCCATATAAATTCTACATGTTCATAACAGACCTCATTATGACTTTTCCGTCCGACCAGCTTCTTTCTTCAGTCCATCGTCGCAGATAGCGTCCAGTGACTCACAAAATCGTAAGTCGACCTACCCGTTACGCCAGGCATCAGTCACACGGCATCATTGTCGGGTCAGGTCCTCACTTTACGGTTGTGTTCGTCTACTTTTCATTCTTACTGTGGCATGCTTCGTGCACGTCTATTCGGTTAAATCACATTGTCTAAGCATTACTTTCTCCGTTCAGGCATTGGCAAACTCCCGAACGGGAAACTGTTTTGTGTCATTGCCTATCATAGTTTCACTTTTCCTGTCATACCAAGCTCACATTTTCTTTTCGTACAATTATCTCCTGAACGGGAACCCAAGTTGTCATACCCTGTGCATTATAACTGCTTAAGTTCGTGCGGTCAAATCCCCCGACTGGGATCACTGTTTTGTTCCATTGCCTGTTATACCAAGCTAGTAATTTTCATATATACATGTAAGCTCACAAACGGGCACTGCGTTCGGTTTTCTGTCACTACACAAACTATTAGCATAGCTCACGAACGGCATTTCATCATGCCTACACTGACCCCTTTCCGGTCACTCCGGATATCGCAGGTTAAACTTACATCATGAGTTAAGGGATTTTACCAACACTTAAGCTTACTGACCCCTACCGGTCCATGGCTATAACAGCGGTTTCACATAGCAAATAATAATTTTCCTACCAATAAAATTACACATAATGTTTTAACAATAGCCAGTCACTTTTCATTTTTACATGTAACCCGTACTTATTTTCATGATCACATATACAGAGAACACTGCTCACAACACTATTCTCCCTAGAAGGAGGACATACGGCATACAATTGTCAGAACACTTTTTCTTCTACAAACATGTTCATGCTGCACATATAAGTGTTAAGAATGGTACATATTCATTTATCCATTATCACATACGGTGGTTAAAGCAGTTTATAGGTTATGGTCCCTTGCTTTTATTTTTACATACTTCACATATTTGGATAAACTTGGTATTTTCCATATCCATTATGTCATATGTTGTTTTATCCATTTAGGTTACAGGTACTACTAAACCTATACGGATTTTAGTTTCAATACCATACTACCAGCTACGTACACCTGCTCACGTAGTATTCCCTAAAATAGTTAGATAACAAACTGGCAATTAGGGATTTTAGGATCCAATAGGTATTGTCCTTTCTCTGCATTACTCTGTTCGGTTAGTGGTCCCGCGAGGCCAACACCTCGCCTCACACTCGGAGGCATACACCCATTGGGCTACTCATGAGTTAGCCGTCTCGCATTGTATTATAGAGAGGGCCTCACCTGTCACTCCCTTTCCTATTTTTCTGGTTACAGTCACCGAGAGGCCAACATCCTGCCACTACGTTTGGTGGCCACAAAAATCCCCTCGCACCAACGCACAGAGCCTCTCAAGCCACTTGGCAACTAGCAGGGCCTCACCAGTCACCAAAACCAAGCTTTAATTGTTTCGCATCACAGGTTAGTCAGCAAGCCAGTACAAGTACACATAATAATTGCTATCTTCATTGTTATTTAAGTATGTCTCAAGAAGGTGGCGAAGAATTATCTCTTCCTAGCACCCCGGCTAGATTTGACACACCTTCACATAGAGGAGATGTTGCTAGTCCAGCATCAATCAGATCCTGGACAATCCCATACATTACCACCGAGCTAAGGAAGCGACAAATCCCCTACCCGGCCACAGCATGGAAAGCGGAACTATTCAAACTTCTCCACACATCAACAGATAACATGGAGGCAGGGGAAGGGCCTAGCAACACCAACTCAGGTGACATCCAGGCTATGCTAGCCTCATCCATGAACTCCATGAGTAAAGTAAACGACATACTGGCAAACCTCGGTCACCACAGCCCTCACAAAGGCTGGGCCTACCGCTAGTGTAGAACTCACACCAACTGAACCTCGGGTAGCTGGGTCAATCAACTCTTCCGGCACTCAGGACGTTAACCCTGCACATATGATTCCAGCGCACATTAAAAAAGATATCCTGCACAATAGAAACCCTCCTGCTCAAGCTACTGCCTTAGGGCATCCCTAAAGGAACCACCAAACTGATTTTCTTCATATAACACACAGAAAATAGGTGGAGCAAGTGGTGATAGTTAAATAAGAAATTTTCTTCATACTCACCTCAGCCTCATTACTAATAGCCAGAAAATGGAAAACACAGCTGACTCCCTCAATTGCCGAGACAGCCACTTTGCTCACCACAACCCTCGACTACGAGGCGATAATATGGAACCAAAATAGAATAGGGTCAGACAACGCCACAGCGAAAGAGATGTGGACAACATACTTGCAAACTCATAAGACCACATAAGTCACCCTCAGCCCCATAACTAAGATGTACGCCTACATAAGGGACACCGATGCATGCGGACTACGAACCGCCATGGGCACAGTAATTTGAGGACAGCAACAGCAAAACAAGTACCAAGTTAACCCCGGTTATACCCCACTTCATCCCCTCCCCCGCTGGCTATCTCCACAGGCACTCATAGCAAGCACCCCATTGACAGCAGGTCATACAAGCAGCAGCAGTCACCAAAGGCCAAATCAGATATACAAACGAGGCCAGCTGCCAGGGTACATAGTTAAATACACCTGAGGTTAACAATGCATTAATACAAAGGACGTATATAGATATCCCTGTTCACATGTCACATATGTCACAAAGGCAATGCCATATAGACGAGCGCACACGCAGAGCGGAGATAGCAATTGTACCGCATGTAACATGTATGCTATGGTTCCAACGTGTAAAAGGCAACAACACTGCAATACTCCTCCCCTGTTTTCCTTTCTGTACCACCCAGTTATGAAATATGACAAAATAAAAATTATCAAATTGAAAAAAAAAAAGATCCTGGAAGGTAAAAATGTCAACTTAGCATCTCTGCTAATTGCCTCCCAGGATATTGTGGAAAACAAAACATATATGTATGATGATGTATCTGTGGTGGTCAGATCCAGGGATTCCAGGTTAAACCGGAAACTGATCATCCCTGAGTTTGTTTTGGCATTTGGGATATATAGAGATGTGATTTGTGCAGTGTACCCTAACAGAAGGGAATAATTTGATTTGTTTATGCAGAAGCTGGTAGACCTAGGCAACAAGTATGGTGGTTCAGCTTTTTATGACTATCATTATCATAGGTCATTTTCAATCAAAGTGTCTGGCGCTCTCTCCCAATTCGGCAACAGAATCAACTGGAGCAGGCTGGATACAGAGATTTTTTGCAGACACTTTGCAGGTCTTAAAACACCAGCTTGTGCATCCTGCTCTTCCACTACCCACACGACAAATTTTTGTCCAAGCACAGCGGACGATCACTCTCAGGCTCCAAGCACTAGCACCTCTGGTAAAACGGAGAGAACTAACAGCGACAAACTAGGTCGTCCCATCATTTTCTTTGGCAAATCCCAGATTTGCAATAATTTTAACGTGGGTACGTGTAGCTTCAGTGCATGCAGACTATTGCATATATGATCTAAATGTTTCAGAACACATGCAAAAACCATGTGCCCCAATAAAATGTACCAAAAACCGTACTTAACGTGTGTCAACATTCATGCTTTGTCAGCACTACTGACACATCACCCTTCCAGACATTTAGTAGATTTTCTTATATCTGGATTTTCAGAGGGGTTCCATACAGGCATCATAGATATGCCCTCAGGGTATCTAGAATGCCCTAACTTACAGTCAGCACAACAGAACCCAACGGCTGTAGACTCACTCATAGCCCAAGAACTGGCAGAGGGGTTTCTATTTGGGCCTTCCATTTACTGCATGGCACACAAACCCCATTGGGATTGTCACATGGAAATCTTCCCTCAAACAAAGACTTTTCATAGATTTATTGGCACCTCACACCTCTGCTACCCCAAGTCTCAACTCCCTCATTTCCTCCGAGGGTTTTTCCCTACAATATGCCACCATAGATCATGCCATTACAGTTATCACCCAAACAGGGGTCGGAGCCTGGTTGAGCAAGACAGACATCACCAATGCTTAAAAACTTCTACCAATCCACCCTACACTCTGGCATTTACATGGCATCAAATGGGCAGACAATTACTATTTCTTCTCCCACTTAACCTTTGGGTCAAAGAGTAGCCCCAAAATTTTTGACACATTTTCCCAAAACACCAGATGCCCCACAGTCATACATTATCTAGATGACTTTTTGTTGGTCAAAGAAAACACCTTTCCCCCCCAGAAGCCTAAAGGAAGCGATTAGTCTGTTCAACCACTTGGGCGTCCCAGTATCCCCCAAGAAAACTGAAGGCCCAGACACTATCATTACATTCCTGGGCATACAACTTGACTCCGCATTGATGCAAGCAAGCCTACCACAAGAGAAAATAGCAAACATTCTCAACAGCATCAATCACTACATCATGCTGGGTACTTGCAACCGCAAGGAACTACAATCTCTTCTAGGTTCCTTAAACATTGCCATGCGCATCATACCACAAGGTCAGGCTTTCATATCCAGACTTCATTGTCTTTTTCCACACTTCCGATATGACGACCATAGACTGTCCCTAGATATTCAAGGCACAGCAGACCTGCACATGTGGAAGAAATTCTTAACTGCGTGGAATGGTAACAGCTTGTTCCTCCCAGGATTGTCTGACATGTCACCAACCATATGGTCAGACGCGGCATCTACCACAGGTTTCACAGCAATCTTTGGGGACGAATGGTTTTGGGGTAGTTGACCTAAAGAAGTCCAGGATTTTCTCTACCTCAGTTTTTTTTTAGATCTACCCTATTGTAGCAGCTGCTGTGACATGGGTTCATTCATGGTCAGGGTCATCAGTCCGTTGCTACTCCGACAACCAGGCCACATGTCATATCATCAACAAGGGCCGCTCATCAGATTTCTCAGAATTCACTTGGTTGGCCGCATGTCACAATTTCTTCTTGGTTTGCTTTCATGTGCCAGGCATTTGTAACACAGCCGCTGACAGTTTCTCGATTCAATTTTCAGGCATTTCATCAAGCACTTCCTTCAACTGCTCAAGCAGCCACAGCCACTCCTTCATTCCAGCAACTAATCATGGATTAGACTTAATTGTGCAACACAGCAGGGATCTGTCCAAATTAGCACTGTCATCCAATACTCGCAGGACATACAACAGAACCTTCACATTATTTAAAAGATTTCTATTAGAACACGACATATCCCAACCTTTTGTCATGACATCTATCCTGGGTTTCACTTCTTTTTGCCATCTTAAACTATAACTATCTTACAACACCATTAAATTATATTTGACAGACATTCAACACCACATGCTATCCCTATGGCCTAATAACCAAAGCTTTATGTCATCATATCAGATAAAGAACATACTCAGAGGCATTCAGAAATCGGTTCCCCCACGTACCTCTCATTACCTATAGATAACAAACTTTTCCAATCCCTATCTGACCTATTAGATTTAAAACCATTTAATTCTACCACCAATTCGGTCATTAAAGCAGCTATGTACATAGCCTTCTACGGTTTCCTCAGGCCAAGAGAGTTCACTACCATCACCACCACTCAGACAGATTTCTACAACGATCCCACCTACGCAAACACATGGACCATTATATACTGGCTCTACCACAGTCCAAAACAAGTCAACACGCACCACCAGTAGAAATCACTTATTATCCTACCCACAATAAATGGTGTCCAGTTGTGGTCCTAGATTCCTACCATCAAAATCCTACCTCACTATCATCACAAAATGTATTTGCACTACAAGGCTCTGTACTTACTACCGCTACTTTCATGAGATATATCAGATTCCTGTTAATCATGCTAGGTCTCAACCCTTCTACCTACTCGGGTCACTCCTTCAGTATAGGGGCTGCCTCCACAGCCTCCAGCGCCAACATACCAGTACATATTATCAAATCACTGGGGCGATGGAATTCTTCCGCTTACACAAGTTACATACCCAAACCAGTACAGGAAATTAGAAATGCATTTAAGGAAATGTCTGGTTAATTTGTATGTATTGTTGACTGAATTAAATCTTTGATTATTCACTTTTGCCCTCTTTATTTACAGGCCTACCGTATCGTTGTTCTCGGAACACCACAACTGACTTGCTCTTTTATACTATCCTATGCTTATACTGAAACCTTACTCCATATACGGCTATTTGCCCCTAACACAAGTATTAAGGCTGTATGGCCCGTAATTGTGGAAGGCGCTTAAGATTATACACTTACCTATATGAGGTACACCCCTTACCTGGCTCCATACCGTTCGAGGTCAGCGTCTGAATGACCCTCCCACCACTCCTAATTCTCAACACTTTTTTCTTTCTTTCTAATTATTTACTTTTCTTTTCTTACTCCTTGGTGGGCCCTCTTTATTTACAGGCCTACCGTATCGTCGGTCCCGGCACACCACAACCGACTTGCTCTTTTATACTATCCTACGTTTATACTGGAACCTTACTCCATATACTGCTATTTGCCCCTAACACACATATATATATATATATCTAAAAAAGAAAAGTAATTCCTGCACTCACGCTGAATCTCCCTTTATGACCGGGTGCCAACCATATACAGCCAAAGTATACAAAAAAATATAGATGGATGGTTGCACTCACGGTTTTTCAAGTAAAAGTCCAAAGTTTATTGTTAATTCATAAAAACTGCGATCGCAGTTTTTATGAATTAACAATAAACTTTGGACTTTTACTTGAAAAACCGTGAGTGCAACCATCCATCTATATTTTTTATATATATATCTATATATATCCTTTCATTCTAAGTGTATTTTGATATTTATATATAATTTAGTAATACTAATTATAGTAAACATTTTCAATTAATTCAGTGTTGGGAGATCTGCCTGATAACCCAGGCAGTCCCCTTGCAGGTACCAGTCATGTGATGATGATGACATCGTGATCACATGGCGTGGAAGGCCTACTTGTCAGCCAGTTCACTCGATCGGGAACGCTTTGGAAGGTAATTACCGCGACTCCCTACAGGGCTGCAACACAATCCTTAGGGCATACTATGCGGCCCTAACAGCGGTAAGGCATAATACACCCAAACACTATTGGATTAATATACTTTTTTGATTGTTTTATATATTGTTTTTAACCATTACATGGAAAATTAAGGCACATCAATTTTTATCATTGCAGTCCTGATATCTGAGCTGTCAAGTATAATTTAATATTTTAATATACTCTTTAAACAAATGGATTATAATGTTATTTGTATTGTAGGCTGCTAATTTGGTGACCTATATGGTCATCTATTTGCATGCATCTAAAATCTTAAGACCAGTTAGTAGTCTAAATTGTAAGATAATTTAAAATCGAACAAAATAGCAGTTGCTCTTAGCTGATAACAATAGTTATGTTGTGTTTTCTTCTGCATACTTATGGTTTTGTACATAAATATAGGCAGCTGTAGGCATCAGTTGATTCTAAGAATCATTTTGTGGAAACTGTTGTGGTGGCAACAGATGTTAACTACATTCGATCTTGCCTTTAGCTTTCCCAGCAAAAGCAAACTGCCAAGCCACTGTACATCCCCTAATAAACTAAGGTTTGAATTAATGATTCTATGAAGGAAGTAATGAAATTTGTGTTATGTTTTGTTTTTTCACTTCAAACAATGTGTTTCTAATCAAGCTTTGCATATGCTTCTTAATAACAAGATATACCAGAAACTTCACTATCTATATTTAATACATAATTTTTTGATGTTGGATATTTTAATTTATTTTAATTTTTTTTTTTGCTACAACACAAACTATTAAGGCCATAATTACTTAGTAAAATATTATAACCAGCACCTGCTTGGCCTTTAGGGAAAAATACTTATCTCTACAGATAATTACATGATTTTGCTATTTCATGACAAAAAGTCATGCTTTTATGAAAGACACGGAGGCGAGTATTGCTTAACCCTTTCTTTACTGTCCACCAATAGCAGCAAAGAATACAAACAGTAAGAAAAAACAGTAGCCATAGTGATAGACCACTCCCATTCCCAAATAATTCCTTTTTCTTTTGAGATGCGACACCAAACCAGCAAACAGGAACCAATGAACAGTCCAGAACACAGCAGAACAAACCATCCTGAAATCCAGCCGGATACCAATCAGGCACCATCTGGAATGAAGAACCGTCAACGATGAGGAGCCCATCACAACACCATCCATAGATCTCCAGCCAACGTGGTGAAGCCTTGGGAAGAAGTGAGGACCTCTTAACAGCACCAACAGCCCAGAATCAACCTGTGAAAACATAAAAAACAGGAGCCCAACCGTTAAATCGGTACTTAAACCAATTGCGCATGCCAATACATAAAGTATAGATATACTGAAACAACACAGTGTCCATAGTGTCAGACAAGAAAAAACAACCACCAGGCAAACATAACATTAACAGTTAAGTTGCACATAATAGGCAATACAATACTGAGCTTAGTGCAACACCTATCATCCCCTGGAAACCAACCTGAGAGATAAACAACTGGGGGGGGAGGGGGGATAAAGTGATAGAGAAGTAACAGGGTGGGACAATACTCTCCTCCGCGTCTTTCATAAAATCATGACTTTTCGTCATGAAATAGCAAAATCATGTAATTTTATGTCAAGACACGGAGGCTCATATTGCAAGTTTAAAGCTGATCAATAACAGAAGAGAAAACATGTGGCGGAGGTCGAAAGTAAAATTCTCTAAAATTGGATTTGCGGGACCAGTCCGCAATCCTCATCAGGTCTTCCAGTTGTGCTCCCAAAGTCACTATAGACGTGGCTGATGCCCCCCCCGCAAGGAGTGGGCACTAAAGATGGATGTATCCACGCCGGCCAGTGACATCACCCATTTAACCCAACGAGCCAAGGTAGTGCTGGACACCGGGGCAAAGGGTTGATGAATCGAGAGAAAGAGCTGAGAGGATGAGACCGAATGATGAGCATTCGTTCGAAGAGTGTTGAGGGCCCGGAGGTTAACTGGGCGGATCTGCCCGCCCTTCTTTTCTACTAGGAAGATGTTGCTGAGGACCTCTGTAGGGGACACGGGGCCCGTTCTATCGCCGCATTTCGCCTGGAGGCCCGACAGCTCCTCGTCTCTTAAGGAGCGGTCAGTCCCAGAAAGTACAATAGGTCGAGGGGGAGGAATGTGACACGGGTTGTCGACCAACTCTATGTGAAACCCCCGCACTGTGGTCAGGACCCAGACATCTGAGATGATGTTTGACCAGGCTTGGAAAAAATGACGGAGTCTGCCCCCTACACAGATATTGGAAAAAACATGAGGTAGATACAAGTTTACCGTAAGGGCGTCTGGAACCGGAGTTCCCTCTGAAGCCTCGGGAGCGCCATGGTCTTCCACGAGAGGGGAAGAAAGGGGACTGGTGTCTCGTCTCCTGGAAGGATGGTCTCTGATTGTAGGAGCCTTGTCCCGATCAAAGGGCGTGGTAATTAGACCAACTGGACAGACAGCCCTTGAATCTGCCGGCCCTGGTAGAGACCCGTCCCTGAAATACCCTCTTCATAGAGGATTGAGCTTTGTCCAGGGCTGTAAAAGCACCCACAAAGCGCCCCATGTCCTTTATAAAGGATTCTCCAAATAACAGGCCCTGGGCGTCTTTCCCCACCTCAGTGAGATCGAGGTTAGCGAGTTTGGGCCCAATTTTAAAGAGATTGGCTTTACGCCGCTCTATAGACAGGGAGGTGTTCACGAACTGCAAGGATTTGTGAAGAATATAGCCGAACGGCATGATACATTCATGAAAAAAACAGCCGAACAGAATGGAGAAAACAGGCGCAAAGGGCGCCAAAATACAGGAGAGGGAGCAATGGAGTCACAGACAGCCAGAAAGAGATAAGACAAACGGAGAGATAAGAGCAACAGTGGAAGCTCAAGTGATAGGGGTACAAATAATAACAGCCTAAAGAAGGTCTTGAACCCTGGGCTCAAAGGATAACACACAAATGTATAATCCACAATAGTAAAAAAAGAATATAAGCGTACAATATATGGAAAATAAAGAGACTACAATCAATAATGCAAATAAAAGCATAAATAACAATAAAGCAATAATGAGATTACCATCAATAATGCAAATAAATAGCATAAATAACAATAAAGCAATGATAATATGGAAGAAATTAGTCATGTATTTATCTTTGGTAGCAGCAAAGAAAGAGGAATTATGTGGGGAGGTGCTGGCTATTATACTGGAACTTGGTATACGAGTGGTCTATCACTATGGTTACCGTTTTTTCTTACTGTTTGTATTCTTTGCTGCTATTGGTGGACAGTAAAGAAATATGAGCCTCCGTGTCTTGACATAAAATTAAAGTATACTTTAGGCATTTGCAACATTGTAGCATTTAGAAAGTGTCAAAATGATGAATCTTCAGATGATGAATCTACAGTGGTCTGCTTCTACATGCATCACGACTTTTAGCAGAAATCCAAATGTAGCTAGCAAAAATTGTGACTTATCGTTTTCCCAAGTTTTATAATTTTTGGTATTCATATAATAGCACCATCTTTACAATTTTAGAAAGGTAATAAGCACCTGCTCAAATGAGCTTACAGTGTATGAGTATATGAGGTAGGTGGATGTATCTTGCTAGATCTCATGCCCAGGGCCACTTACTGGTAATGTTATCTGACCAGTATTCCCAGTTCTAAGACAGTGATGTTACCACCGCTGTAACCAGCTAATATACAAGTCGTTTTTTTCTGTATCTATGCGTTTTTTTACTTGAAACATAGTAAATAGCCTCCAGGTTGATATTGTGTTTTTTTTTTTTGTTTTTTTTTCAAGTCTTGATTCAAAATGTAAAATGTCAATAGCTAAGTGTAACCTAAATAGTCATGTTATGTTGTCACAATTGCAGAGGAAAAACAAATTAAAAAGAATCTTTAATAGTATTATTAAACACAATATTCTATGACTTATAATAGCCATAAACTAGTGAATGCACTTTTATTTTTTTCTATTTTTTAGAGTCCGATGAAGAGGTGGAAGAAAAACAGGACATAGAAAAGCCTTTAGTGTAACAAAATGTGATTCCAAAGGTAAGTAGGTGCATGATATAGAAAGTAGCATATTATGGGGACAAACCACAGAACCTTGACTGTTAAATTCATTTATAGACCAGACATTTAATTCACTGTTTTCTAATTATATCAGAGTTCACAAGTTGTTATGAATTGTGCATCTATTTGCATCCCAGCCTCAGATAATCTGGAAATGTTGCTGTGCAAACCCACATAGTATTGCTGAAAATCTTTAAAGTGGTTTGGTCTTTACACATTATATCTACCACACCCCCCTCCCTCCCCCCACATTTAGTCTGTCTTCATTTAAAAGTACATAAATAAAAGTATGAATGCATTGCATATCACATTGTTTCCTGTGTTCTTTAGCATGTTAACCTGTGTATGCACAATGTAATTGACCAGTGCATGTGAGCGAGAATAGCATTGCATAACAGGAAATGGGTAATCTACCAGCATCCATCATGATTGGCAAATAAAACAGAAACTTGCTTTAGGTACTCCCATTGTCAAAGATCATATGGTACCCAAGAACTAGTAGGTTCTGTTTTATCTTGTGTATATATAAAATGAAATGAGGTAAATTTAAAAACCAAAAACAAGGGACAAAAAAGGATAAAAAAAAATAAAAGTTAAAATCCCGCTTTATAGGCAAAATCTCTATTGAATCAGAAGTGGTTCATTTTTATGAGCCCCTACAAATTAATCCTAAATAGAAATTATATGGGGTAGAAGGCAGCACTCTCCATTCATTTTATGTTCCCTGTGCTTTAATTAGAATGTGATTTTTGAAGTGGTAATGTTTGCTTGCTTGCAGCCTTACTGAAGCATCATACTTGAGATTACTGGATTCTGTCTGGTGGACTACTGCAAACAGGAAGCAAAACAAATTAAAGCCATACTGATGCACCACACAAATTATTCTGCCGTAGCTGTTGGAATTGGAAGAGGACAGCCACTGAGTAGTCAGTAGTGACTAACTATGTTTGTCTGCATTGAATCATAATTTAATATGTTCTATGAGATTGTTCTATAAATTCTATAAATTAGAGTGAAACTATGTGAAAGATACCTTAGCAGTCCATGTAATCTGTTTCTCTCCTGAGAGTCCAGTGCCTTCATGTTTATTGACTATGAGAAGACTACTGACTTTGGTATGGACAAGACTGACTACTATGTCTTCTAATAAATAATGTGAAGCTGTTGGATTTTTATTTTTAACTAAAATTAAAATGTTGCCATCTGTGCAGTTTGCATACCTGAAATGAATCTATGTATAAAGCAAACTGAGGTGAAGCTATTTTTTTTTAAACTTGCTATCATCCCTGGAATGTCTGGCGTTTGATCTTGGAATTCTTTATTTATTTATATCAGGATGAGGCAATCTATAAAGGAAATTAGTGAGAAGAATGTGCAAGCTTTTTTTCTTGCAGACCTACGTGAATGCTGGTTCCTACATGACTGTTACTGCAGTTCTTCTATACTTGGCAACCACATGAATTCAGATCTTTGTCTCTAAGTAGCCAGTATCAGTAGCTTTGATGGGCTATAATAAAGTAACTCCTAGTTATGTTTGGGTTTCTTTCCCACTAAATATGTGAGTGGATCTTTCGAATTACTCTCTCTCTAGCCCATCTTTGCTGATTTAGGAATGCACTTTAAATGTGGTGTGGCAGTGGACCATGAGAACTGCATTTTAGTATTGATTAGCAAAGTATAGATTAAAATGAGATGAAACTCTACTTGTTAGATGCATAGTCAATCTTAAAAAAATAGTTTAGTACAGTTTCCATTTTCTTGGAAGGGGGTCTATGAAATAGATACTTAAGACTAAAGGATCACTATGACATTAAGAATACAAATATCTATTCCTAATGCTACCATGCCCTAATCACCATTTAGGTGACTGGGACAGCACTGCCAGGGTTAAAAATGGTAATTTGCTTATCTTTTCTTCCTTGAAGTCTCCTTGATGAACCCCGCATAGGAAAGCATTAGGAAGCTTGTGTGCATGCGTGGCAAAATGCTGCGGTACGCCTATCAGATGGTGGCCTCTCTGGGTTTTACTCTGCTATTTCATAGAAAAGCCTCTAGTGATTGTCAGTATGGCAGCCATCAAAGGCTGGTTAACGTTGCCATGAAAACATTAGCATTTCTGAACTCCTTTTAGAACACTGTAGTCAATACAACCAAAAATGTTGCATTAAAAATAGATCATTGCTTTTAATATACTTACTTCCCTGCAGGCCCCATAAATGTGTCATTCGTTATTTTCATTCTTATTTACATAAATTGTGAAATATCTTTTCTAAAGTGTGTGTCACTTTCCTGAAGATTTGAAAGTATGCAAATTTTCATACAGTCGGTTTACATTGTATGTGTAAATTTGGTGGGCCAGATGTCGTGCTTTGAGTGGTCCCACTTTGATATTCACAGCAAAGAAAATTGTAAGTTTAATATGTTTTTGTAGGTTATATGCAGTTTTTCCAAAAATGCTTACTTTGCACTCCTTATATAAATATAAGGCAAAAAATCTGGTCAGGCAAGAAAAGCATCTGGCTATATCAACATTGAGATCAAACATATTGCCCCAGTTATGGCAGCTATCTTCTGGACTAAACTTGTCAACACTCTATATTTTAATTCATTTTTTTGTTGATTCAACACTGACTGTTCCAAAGAAAAATACATTGTTTCATATATTCTATACTGTTAGTCAAACATTTGTAATTTGTTTTGTTTGTGTAACTTGAAAAAAAGATTGTTTTTGTTTTGTAACTGTTTGTCCTACATTGTATTGCCATCTTTGTAAGAAGAGAGTTGGTTTTCAGAGAATAGATGAAACAGACACAAGAAATTTGTGACATGGGTCTTAGAAATATTTGAATTGTTTTTAATTGAGACTGATTCTGTGTTTGAATGTCCATATTTTAAGGATGGCATTTAAGAAATCTATTAAAGTCTGTGCTCTGTTATTTTTGTAACGTACATGAATGACACAGGGCTTGATGTTTATTAAACTCTAATTCACCCTGCTCAGTTTTGCTGTTGTACAACTTTTATATGAAGCATACAATTCCCTCAGCGTTCAGTAAATTTTTATATACAGGGTATTTGCAGATAATGTATCAACCACTAATTTTAAGATCCCATATGGTACTAATCTCTCTGTATAAAATGCATAGTTTGTTTAATACATAGATTCACACATTGATGGTGACTGTACATCTTTTACACAAAGTTTCTATCCTATTTATACCTCGACAAGCATTTTATATAATGCAAGGTATATAATCAAAGATAGTACATTGCTGCTTACCGTTAACTCTATGATGTATATTATAATGTATGCAGTATTGCTAATGAAATTAACCTGCTAGCGGCAACATATAATAACAGAGATACTTTTTTTTTTTCCCATTTGTTTTCTGGAAAGTTGAATTTCTCGTGCAAATTATTGGTTCCATATAATGGTTTAAATGTATATTGTATGTACATATCTATATGTAAGTTATACGATTAAATGAATAATGAAATGCTTAATAAATGAGCTGTTAAAATTATACTGTGTGTATAAAACCTATTAAAGAAATACACTTCATTGAAACACTTATGTTAAAACACACACAATGCATGTGTCTGAAGGTAGTACATATAAATGTTTTATAAACATATGGGAGAAAAAAAGCTAAATGGTGTTTGCAGGAACCAACTTAGAATATTCAATATACAGCATATTACTATAAGCGGATCTGTTATTGTTTGATGGTACAGCCCCCAGCTTCTTTATAGCCCACAACCCCTGAAAACCATTTCTAGTCCCGAGAGCAGTGCGGCTTACCTTTTCCAATATTGTGCCAGTCCTGCTGGATCTTATCTCAAGGCGTCGTCATCTTTGTGTTCTTAAGATGGCGGTGCCAGGAATCCCATACTCTGCCCTCCCTTGGGCGTGAGTGTCAAATGACATGCACACCCAAGGCTTCCAATAGGCCTGTGTTGACTCTCGCCACTAGCCAAAGAGGCGCAATACTGGAAGGAGGTGATCACAACCATTGACAATGACTGCAAAGCGTGAATTAAGTTTGTCATCAGTTATGCGTAATGAAAAAAAAAAGTAAGTTTGAAGAAAAAAAAAAAACAACCAAAAAACAGGGTGTGGGTTTGGAAAAAAAGTGACTGATCTGCTTTAAATATTCAACTTTGATTTATACAAGAAAGGTTCATCATTGTTAGTTAATCCCTTGAATGTTTTCTTTCTGTGGATTTCTTTAGACAAATCGGCATATATGTTGCTTTGTAGAGCCAAAATGAAAATATCAGCCTTGTTTTACTTTTAACTTATTCTCCCGTGCTTTAGAAGCCAAATCAGGTTTATTCACTAAACAGTCAATAGTCAGAATGGATCTGCAAATTTTAGACAATAACTGCTGAAAACATAGGTGACTCTTTCCAATCCAGCAATACTCTCCAATTTGTGTTTAGTGAATGACCCTGAACATTTTGCATTTTTTTTTTCATTCGTAATCACAATTCTAAGATAATATTTTAATAACCCTTGTGAATTTAAGAACTATGGTATCTCTGTGGTACCTGCTTTAGTATATTACATTTAAATGATTTTACTATTAAAACTTGAGCAACACTGATGTAGTCTATAGTTCAACTCGGATATTATTAAAACACACCAGGTTTTGAAGCCCAGGTGGAGCAAAAGCTAAATTGAACTGATTGTCTTCCAAACATTGAGTTTCCAGATCATAATTTAGTGAATAAACACACAGTGTTTATCCTCTAGTGATCTATTGTGTGTGTGTGTGTGTGTGTGTGTGTGTGTGTGTATATATATATATTTATGTGTGTGTGTATATATTTGTTTTTTCTTATTTTGTCTGTTAGTCAGATATACATCTCTACTATTCTCCTAAAATAAATGTTACATCTCTGTGTACATAGTGATTTTTTTTTTCTAATGGTTTCCTGTATGTGGCTTGGTTAATAATGGTAAATAACTGTTCCACTCCCACACACCTCTGTGCACACTATTAAAAGCACCACAGCATATATTTGTGGCTTATATGTCATCATTTAAAGGAAAACAGGTTTGCACTAAGGCTCTAGCAATGATGCACAAACATACATGGACATGCCCATATGTATTTCCTATATGAGATGCACTCTTTAATTTTTATATATGTTTTGCATATATACATAGTAGATGTCTGTGCATTGGAACAATTTGGTTTAGTTGATCATACAGTAATTTCAGGAAAAACAATTAAGAAGAACCAAAAGGGCTCAAAAGTGGCACATCAATGTACTGCAAAATTTCAATATTACATATACATTTTGCAGTACACTGATGGGTGCCATCCGGTTTGCACATAAAGTTAAAAGAAGCAACCAACAGAGGGGAAAAAAGAGGAAGAACAGTAAGCAAAAAAACTATATATATATATATATATATATATATACACTCAATACATTGTTAAACACAGCTCTGCCTACACCAGTCAAGTCACAAAATGTGCTTTTCCCACAGAAATTTCTTATTTGCAGTGATGTTACTACTACAAGAGATTCTGGGTGGGCATATGCAAAAGAGTGCAACAAAGAATCATATATATATATATATATATATATATAATATGATTTTTTTTTTTTTTAATTCACATATCAAGTGAGAAATGAACAATTAATATTCAACATTTTAGTGGCTGTCCCCTAACCAATAGTTATTTATTTTTAATGGTTCTATGGAACTCTGAAATACAAAACCATTGAAACTTGTTGTCCATTGTCTGTAATATGGCAAATAGGAGTTACAGAAGTCAGATGACCCACTGATTGCCCAAGATTTGAAACCCAAAGTTTAAAAGCAAATGCACAAGTCTAATACATACAGTTGTTTGGGTTCAACTGTTTTCTACGTGTTTCAGTTTGATATAAAAAAAGAATGTTACATTAATATGATTCCTGCAACTTGAGATGTCATCATAAAATAGACTTAACTAATTTTTTTTTTTTTATATCAAGAAATGGTCACATCATTTAAAAACCGAAGAAGAGTAATATGCACCTGATGAAGTTAAATTAAGTTTGACCACACAGAAGTACATAACTGCCAAGCAGAAAAGTTTTAAATGATCATGGTCCAACATAGACCATAACAATTGCAGTGGAGAAAGATGGTGCTATCTCAACAGCTAATTTTGAGAAGTGCAATAATTAACCATTTCAAATAACTTGTACTATAATAATACTTATTAGATAATCAGTGATGGTTTTATTATATTTTTTTTTTTACTGTTTTTCTTTTCCTTTTATCACAAATCTTCTCTAATATTTAAAGGAGCACTATAGGGTCAGGAACACAAACATGTATTCCTGACCCTATAGTGCTAAACCCACCATTTAGGTGACTTGCCCCCCACTTAGCCCCCTTAAAAGGAATTAAAACTCACCTAATTTCCAGCATTGCGCAGGTCTGCCTGCACTGGCCCCCTTAGTGACTTAATCAGAGTTGCTGATTTTAAGCCAATCCAATGCAAAAGCATTGGATTGGATCATATCTGCAAGGGGCGGGGCCAAATGCTGTTTTGGCCAATCAGTACCTCCTCATAGAAATGCATCTATATGAAGAAAATTTAGCGTCCCCATGCAGACCGTGGAGACGCTGAACGGCAGTGCTGCCTATTGTGCAGCACTGCCCCAGGAAGCACCTACAGTGGCCATCTGAGGAGTGGACACTTGGAGGTGTCCATAGGGGCAATGAAAATGCCCGAAGGCAACAATTATTGCAATCTCATGCTACAATTTTTTTAAATATTTTTTTTTTTTTACATCAATATGTGGCATCGCTCCGACCTCGCGAGAAGAACCCCTGGGAGCTGCTGGCTTGAGCTAGCCCAGGTCCTTTTTTCATACTTTTAAAATGTTTTCAGAAATCTGTTTTTGTTTTTTTTGCTTTGTCAGTGTGGATTGTAGATTGAGGTAAAAAATATAATAAATAATTTAAACAATTGTAGCGTAAGGCTGCAACATAAAAAAAATGAATACTTTCTGAATGCTATATATGTGTGTGTGTGTGTGTTTCTGCCTTATATATCTGTGAATAGTAATGAATACATACAGTTTTATTCCTTTGTTTCATATTTAAATCTATTTTTATGGTTCAATATGTATTTTTAAAGAAATAAAGTCTTCAATGAATGACATTAAATGACACCACGTACAATATATCACAGCATAAAGTAAACACACTGTATGAATATGAAAAACAGTTTAACTTGATATATTTAATAAGATATAGGTAGCAGTTGCACACTAATTACGTGAACCTATACGATAATATTCAAATACAGAAACATATTTCTAGCGAGTTTACAAATTAAAAGTAAATAGAAATTTACTTGAGCAGATGCAGTACCAAATAAAAATCACATTTTGTTATCTACCATTTTTCTATCCAGAATTTCAGAGTTTTCATTTGTTAAATCTGGCCAAAAGGTTTTTTTTTTTTCTATTTGTATTTATTTTTAATTTTAAATGTTATTCGTCATATGTCAATATAAAAATAATTAAATGAACCTGAGGCACAGAACAATTACTTAATGTAATATATTTAAAAGGAAAATCAGAATAGATTTTACCAATTAAAAATAATAAAGAAAATAAAAATGAGTTAATGTTGCAATTTACGTTTTGGCATGATTAAGGAGTTAAAGGGACACTTTATACACCGTAACCACAATGGTTTATTGTAGTTTTCATGATCCAAGGTGGCTATAGTTACAGTCCCACAATTTTTTTGTCAAAGTGTTTTCAAGTAGTTCCTGGAATCCTACCACGCACCCCATAAAAAAAAAAAACTATATTAAACTAATTAGAAGGCATGGAAGCATGACTTGAAGCAACCCCTCTGGGAATGAGAGCCAGGAAACTGGGGGGGGGAGCCTAATCGATAAGGGGCATCAGCAGGGCTGTAGCATTAGGAATACAGAGCAATTTACTACTTATTCATGCAGCTCATTAGATATTTTAATCTACAGTGGAAAGTTTAAAAAAAAAATAGCTAATTTAGTTATTGCAATAAAAGCTATACATTCAAAATAACCTAAGCATTCTAACTCATTTCAGCAAGTAATGATATTAAATGGTTTGTATTTGCTTTTGTCTTCACAAGGAGATAACAAATCACGCTGCAAACTTGTACGTCAAGACCAGGATAGGGCAATACAAAACACTCTTCAGGAGCAATAGAGTATAGGTGATATAAGCAGCCTGGTACGTTGTTGGTTTCAAAAGTACGTTTCCTGTGAAAAGAAAAAAAAGAGTTGTAATGCATACGGAAATAGTACATTTATATGTTTAGAAGAAGCAAAAACATTGTTGGTTGGGTTTTTTTATTTATCTTTTTTTGTTTTGTTTTTCTAGCAATGTAGTTTTTAATAAATTTTTATTTATTTATTTTTCAAGTCAATGTAAAGTGATTAAGAATGAAAAAAAAGTATGAAGAAAGTTTTGACACTGTGGATATTGACTGTGTTTTGGTTCATTTCAATACAGATTTTTTGACTGGATGGGATACATAGTGTTGAACTGCATTTAAATGTCTGTAGAATAGACACCAGGTACTTTGCATTACATGGATCTATATATACAAACAGATAATTGAAAAATATCCATCATACCATAATGACTCTATATGTCCATCAGATTATTAGACATGAACCCTTTGCGTTATGTGTTTAGAGGAGTATAAGCTACCCCTCAAAACATGATCCACCAAGGATCAAAATGCACAATATCGTCAAAACACTAAGCAAAATGCTGCGAGTTTACAGGTTGCACTTTCTGGAGTCTTGTGCCTAGAAGTGTGATACCAGAGTACCAACCAATCCTCGACAAAAAATATAATACTAAAATCGCACAAATGAACGAAAGACAGTTTCAATTTTAATTAATACGAACACATTGGTGTCATGCATGTTTTATAAGTAAGTAATGCACCCTAAAATATCAGTGTGAAAACAGACATGGACTATGAGATGTTAATCAGATTCTTCAGAAAATGCTTGGAAAAGATGCAGCCTCTCCAAGTAATTTTTTTCCTGCACTACCTTGTGAATTATAAGGTTTGGTTATTTTTTTTTGTAATAAGTATAAATCCACCTTGTTTCTGTACCAAACAGGCTTACATCACATTAAAATTCATTTACCCCCCCCCCCCCCCCCCGACACAACATTAATTAATGCTCCTCAAATCAGGCAGTAGATTATCCAATACATTTTTTTTTTTTTAAACAAAAAAACATGTCACATTGTTATTTACCAAAATAACTGTTATTTCTGTTAGGACAACTTTCCGATTGATAGTCAACATCGATGCTTTTCTTCTCTGTACTTGCTGTAAAGGAAAGCAGTCATTCATTAATGCTTTATATGGTAAGAAATCTTAATAATATAAATGCATGACTAAATGTGAACGCTGGACTTTTATCACTACCAAAATTTCATATAACACACTATATATACACCATATATAATCCACTTTATGAATAGTGGTATGCCAATGTTTTTATGCTTTTAAAAACGTCCAAACTTTATTGTGTATATATATAAATATATATATATATAAATATATATATATATATATATATATATATATATATGCATGTATGTGTGTGTGTCTATATATATTATTCTAATTACATGCTTTCTCTTTTGTCTGGCTTATTCTGGTTATTCCCTAAACCTCTGTATCTCTCATTCTCAGAACCATATTCTGCTACTTATGACACAAACATCATCACACATCTGTATATTATCATATTGTCATAAATATGTGACTGTGTGTATTGATTGTATGAACAATGTTATACCTAAGTGTGTGTATACATATTCAGGAATGTTTTCAACTCTTTTTTTTCTAAATTGATTGCAGTTTATTGTTGCATCCCTAGTATTTAGTAATGCAATGTATAATACCTTTACTTTCTCCAATATATGTTGATCCCCATTGAGTAGGGGTAGTAACTCCTTCATGCTTGTACTTGCAGTAAAATCTCTTGCCATAGTCAGCTTTGTCTACTGTGATCCAGCTTGTCAATGAGTAGGTTTTAAGTTGATCATCCAACACTATATCTCCTTGTTCTGCCTCTAGATCAGCTGTATTTTCTTCTTTGTTCCAGACCACCTTGATAACATCTGGGTAAAAGTTCTGTATAACACACATGTATATAAGCTTGCCTGTCTTCTGTACTTCTTTCTCGGACGAACTCAGTATGGTTGCCTTGGGTTCTGAAACGCTCTGGCTGCCTGAATATATAAAAGATGAAAGTTAAACAAATGTTTTGGTGTTTTTATTGGTCTAACTCAGGGTTAGAGGAATATTCTTGTCGACATTACATTTTAAAATGAGACATGATAGTTTATTGTGTGGACTAATGGTATATGGGATTTCTCAGCTTCATATGATATAGCACAACATTCTGTTTCATAAATGGACTAATTTGTAAAGAAGGACATTTAGGTAATTTGTATTCTTTAAATTATCCTTTCCCTGTGACAGCATATACTATTTATATTTAGACCCTGCAAGTATATCTTTGATGTTAGTATTTATTAAAGGTGGGTATCTTATCAACAAATGATGTGGATGAATAGCCGAGCTTAAGTTAACCCCTTAAGGACACATGACGTGTGACAAGTCATGATTCCCTTTTATTCCAGAAGTTTGGTCCTTAAGGGTTAAAGGAACACGCCAAGCAACATAACCACTACAGCTCCCTGTAGTAGTTATGGTGCCAAGAGTTCCCTGGTTCCCCTATTTTAAGGAGTCAACCATATTTGAATGCACCTTAAAACTAGCTGCATGCTGCAGTGTCAGCGTACATGCTTAACCCCTTAAGGACACATGACATGTATGACATGTCATGATTCCCTTTTATTCCAGAAGTTTGGTCCTTAAGGGCTTAAGCAGCTGCTCATTTATTTCTGGAAGACATCCTTAAGGACGCATGGGTGTGACATCAAAATGGTGCTAATGCTTATATATATCTTTATGGAACACAATGAGAAAGTAGAAACTGACTTTGAGTTATGAGCTCATTGCACAAGGAGCATACAATTGTATATATATTTTTTTAATATAATTTTAAATGATTTAACACTGCGGTGCATTCAAAAATTATTTATGGTCTCAATTAAAATATGTGAAGTACAATAGACCGATTTACATTGCAGTATATTCAATTCAATTAAGTGCCACCTAGTGACTTGCATCCTCAAATCAGGAATGACGTGAATATTAACATATAGGCTTTTTTATTTGAGTCCTACCTATGCTAACACTAAATGTGGCTGCATTCAGCTCAAAATCAGGACATCTAATACAAAACCCTACTAACTAATCAACCCAAATAAGAAGCATAAAGTAGGTGACTTCACTGTAACAAGCCTATGAAATGCAAGAGCAAAGAAAATCACACACAATAGCTCTGTGCTAAATCTTTTATCACTCTCTGTGCACTCAAACCCAAGCCAAAACGTACCATTTTAAATAAGAGAGGTTTTAGTTTAGTTTTTATCACCATGGAGTGATACAAAATAACTCTGTTATTTAAAAATGTACATTGGAATTATATTTTTTTTCTTTATAAATATATAGTGCTAATTTATATTAAATTAAATTTATATTAAAAAAAAATGTATTTCTAAGTATATACAAACTGTTTACAAAGCACATAAGACAAACAATTAAATGGACCTCAGAAAGTTTTAGATGATAACATAAATGTATTAGTTCTGAATATCATGTCTAATGAAAACTGATTGATACGTCTAAATTGTTGAATGTGACAATATAATTGTGGCCTAAAATAAGAAATGGGGGGAGGAGGGTTGATTAAACAGGTCACTTTTCTAATATTTGATATAGCTCATTTAGCTCTTCACAAAAAAATGGATTTGGTTATTCCAGACCAACTTACATTAGCATTTGGCAACTGTTAAAATCTGATTAATCTCTATATTAAAGGGACACTATAGTCACAACTTTATACACCAAAACTGCTTCATTAAGCTAAAGTAATTTAGGTGACTATAGTGTTCCTTTAATCAATCCGTATAATATCAGACTAATTTCCTTCATCTTTCTACCCAATTCTCCTGACACAGAACAGAAGAATTGCTTTTTATTTTTGTTTTTTACTCACAGCAGGAAATTAAACAGATTTTCGTTTACAACTTTCTTGCAATTTGGTTGAGTTATTTTCAAATCCAGTTCATTGCAACAATGAAATCCATCTGAAAATAGTAGGGATCCATTTGTCTAAATGCGATTTTATATTGCTTATAGCGAATTCCATAAAAGTGAAAGGAATTCTTTTAACTAATTTCTAGATGGTTCAGCTGAATGGAGACCAACTTTGCTACAGCAAATTCAGTGTTTCGTGAATACACCCAATCATAAATAGTATATATTTATAATTATAAAGAGTACATATTTCCTTCCTATGTAAATAACATAAAAAAAGATTTAAATGCCAAACCTTATCTTTTATTCTTATTATACTTTGTCACACACCAGCCATAAAGGGGGTACTTTAAACACCATAATCACTACATACTATTTGAGACTAACTGCGCAACAACGGTCTGAAGCCTTTAAACTATATTCACTACAATGAGGGATACATAATGCTTAAGTATTTATGAAATGGTGAGTTGACATCAAGCTTTCAAACTTGATGTAAAATTAACCAGCTTGGCTATTTTGGGTTATATTTTGTAAGGTTATCATCAGCTGATCACAACTCACACTTTAGTGAATTAAATCCCAATGATCTCTTAAAGAATCCAAAAATGCAAAAAGCACAAAACGAGATGTGAATCATATGCATATGTTGTAGACTAATGTAAACTGTCTCCTGTATTATTGTGATCAGAGAAGAAGGATACAAGATAGCACTCCAGTTACTGGAGAGTTTGCTTTTAAATTGGAATGTAATTGCCAACCAAATAACTACATAAATTAATTGAAAACTTGAATTTTGGAGACTGTTATACAGGTTATACAAAGGTTTTGTCCATACTTGGTCTTTAATATTTATTTTGGTTCTACATTTAGTGCCAGCTGATTTATGGTTAAATGTTAGCCTTGCATGCTCCCTTCCCTCGTTTTCATCATTAAAAATAATCCCTTCTCCTTGATAAGACAACCTATATCCCTCCCAAAGTCCAGCATGCAGATCAATGTGCAAAATATCTTAACATATAACAACACTATAGTTAACAGTATATTACATTATAAAATCAAGTTAAATTAACAAAATTTAATATTTTTAACCCCTTAAGGACCAAACTTCTGGAATAAAAGGGAATCATGACATGTCACACATGTCATGTGTCCTTAAGGGGTTAAACTGTGTTTAATGCAGTTTCTTTATCTGCAGCCCTACATATTATAGTTAATATATATATATATATATAGAGAGAGAGAGAGAGAGAGAGAGAGATTGATATGTTTTAGAGTTCAGAGAAATGCTACTAAACTCGTTCATGGATTGCAGGGTAAAATTTACTAGGAAAGGTTAAAAGATCTTAACATGTATAGCTTGGAGGAAAGACGAGACAGGGGGGATATTATAGAAACATTTAAATACATAAAGGGAATCAACACAGTAAAGGAGGCCACTATATTTAAAAGAAGAAAAACTACCACAACAAGAGGACATAGTTTTAAATTAGAGGGACAAAGGTTTAAAAATAATATCAGGAAGTATTACTTTACTGAGAGGGTAGTGGATGCATGGAATAGCCTTTCAGCTGAAGTGGTAGAGGTTAACACAGGGAGGGAGTATAAGAATGTGTGGGATAGGCATAAGATTATCCTAGATATAAGAGAAGGCCAGGGACTAATGAAAGTATTTAGAAAATTGGGCAGACTAGATGGGCCGAATGGTTCTTATCTGCCGTCACATTCTGTGTTTCTATGTTACTATCTTAATTGAAATAAAAACTATGTAGAATATTATATCTTAATAATTTAATCAAAACATTATTTAACATTATAAATAATGACATTTGCAATGCTAAATAATACTTGTATTTTAGGATACCATAACTTATGTATATATATTTATATATGCTATGCTATAGTAAGCACAAAAACGTAAATGTGTTACATTTATAAATGCTTGATTTAAAAAAAAAAATTAACAAAATAATTCCTTTTGTGTGTGCGTGTGTGCGTGTGTGTGCATGTATAGAAACACGTATAAATTATGTAGAAAATTATATATATATTTTCAATATAATTTATGAGTGTGTGTGTTTCCTATATGTATATAACAACAATAAATTATAAATAAAAAGTTGTTTTTTTTTGTGTGTTTTTTAATTTTTTTATAATCAAGCATTTATACAGGTTTAAGTTTTTGTGCGAACTATCTAGAAATAGGACAAATTGAGATTTTGCCATCATTTTACTTACAAAAGTAAAATATACATAGAGCTAATTTTTCTTACTTACTTTGGAAATGCTTGTGCACTAAAATCTAATTCCTTGCACCACAAAAAAATGATTTGTTAGTTTATATAATTACAAAATAAATACAGAAATCTGTTAATCATAATGATAAGGATTAAACAGGATTTAAAACATATTGAAAACTATAAATTCATATTAACAGTTGTATTATTTTTTGTAAAATTATCAATACCCAGTAGAAAACTCTAATTATCTATGCCTATTAACTACAAGTATACTTTTATTATTCAACTGAAGCTGATTCATATTAACAAGAAATATATAAATCCCCTTTTTCATTAAAAAACATACAAAGAAAATCCAAATTTATAGGAATGTTATATGTGTGACCTTTTATTTAAATTGTGCTGAAACTAATTAATTATGAAAAATAAATACTAGTTAATTATATGTGTGTGTCTATAAAAATATATAAAATCTCAGAATAAAGAAAAACACATTAAAAGAATTAAAGATTTTCCTGTCAAGCACATTTAATGTGATTTATTGACCTACTTACCTATGCAGCTGTCAAATTTATGTATTTCAAACTACTTTAAGTGCATCCAGTGGTTTAAAAACATACACATTTTTAAACTTTTAGATAAGATTTGGTTATTTGCCCTAGTTACACATACATATAGTTTATTACTGTTATTTAAAGTTATGCACTTACTAATCACAGAAAGTTTTGTCCCAGTTCCAAATCGTTTCACACTGGCGTCCTTGCACAGTGGTGATTTTCTTAGCAAAAACTGTATTTCTAATAAAATGTTCAACTCGTTACATTTTGTCTTCTGGAAGTATTGAAGTAATTATGTTGCCATTTTTAAGATGTTATTTTATTATTAGGATTTTAACGACTGTTTAAAAAATTCACCATCAATACTTAGATACCCGAAAACTAATAATACTATTAATAGAAAGTGGAATGTGAGTTTACTTTTAACGGACCATCAGTACAGTTATACACCGAGCGAAGATATGGTAAAAAAAATATCCTTGACAAAAAATTGCACTTTCTTTGATCTGGATGTGCATTTAAAAGTTTTATATCAAGTTAATCTGGTTCTTCAGAATATTTTATCTGGTTATGTCAAAGAAAATGGAAAAAGTAAAATAAAAGTTTAGTTTTGCTTGTAAAGCTGTCTTCATGCTCTCCAGGATAACAGACTACTATTCCAGCACTTATCATACTGATAATAAAGTTGAGCATGATTAGCAGTTGAGAGGTAAATATGCAACCTCCACAACTCCAGGTGCTGTGGCATACCAACAACAGATGTACTAGAAACCACTTATCCCTGTCTGGGAGGTAGGAGTGGGCAACATCTCAACTGTTGCTGGGATGCTGATCACGTTGTAATCAGTCAGTTTGCTTATTTTGGTTAGCAGAAACTGCAATTAGTAGGAGCTGCATGTGTTGTACTTGGTCTTCAAAATAAAAAACATATCACATTTGACAATTCAATGGGTAGAATTACACTGACCATAGCTTAAATAAATAAATCAATCAATAAATAAATACATAATGTTATATATTTAATATATATTATTGTTGGGGGAAATTAATAAATTACTACTAATAAATATTCATCAGAATTATGCCAGTGGTCTGCCAGTACTGGGCTTATAGATATAATAGTTTGATCAATATAGCATGTTTCATAGTAGAAGTCAGGCATGCTATAAAATGTCTAGACATTTTGGACTGGCATTTACAAATTTACAGTATACTATATTACTATATATACACACGTTTAAATATGAATTATGATTTATTCCCTTTATATATATATATATATATATATATCACTGTTTAGTTATATAAGAGTTTAAAGCTGATGCTGTGTAATCTAAATCGCAGATTGCCCACCCCTGTACTAGACTAATAATATCTTCGAGAGACCTTCCTTTGGTTTACCATGTCCGACATGTAAATGCATTTTTTCATTTAAGAGAAAACAAAATAAACAAAGAGTTAAAAATTGCATTTGAATTTTCGATGCAATTTTGAACAATTCTCTGTTATTGCAATATGCCTCAAGTCAATAGAGCCTTACAAATATGCAGTCACTTCTTACCGTAGGGCTAGTTACAAATATTATGTGACATGGTACAAAAATTGTATATTGTATTCTAATAACATTATATAACATTCATCGAAGAGAACATTCGGCAATTTAACCCATAAATACCTTTAAGTTCAACCACATAATTCTAAACAAATTAAAATCTTTATTTGTCAGTATGATTTAATATATTATGTAGATTGAATAGCTATGTTTTAATCATGCAATTTATTGGAATAAATATATATTTTTGTAATCATTCGTGTGTAAAATGTTATATTAATGAAATAATTAGATTTGCATAATTTGATTATATGACCCTTAACACAATTCTGTCTAGATAAATCAAATACGTATCTAAAATACATACCTACGTTTAGTAAAATATGTAACTAAATATTAAGGTACTTACTTGTAATAGTGAGTTTAGTCCCAGATCCAAATACTTTTATATACCAATATGTATCAGTATTTACACTGTGAATCAAGCAATGCTAAATACCCCAAAACACAGTTGTAAAAAGCTATCTGCTTATGGACAAAATTGTTTATTGCTGAGAATTCAAATTTGAAATGTAAGACCAAAACAGCTAAACTTAAAACATAAGTGACATGGCTATTTATAGCAAATGAACTGTTTTCACCTAAAACTTTGAAATTTCCTTTGACATCCTAACAATTCACATTTTAGTGAATAATCTTGTGTGGTTATAATTGTAATCGTGGTTTGGTGCTCGAAGTTTGGGAAATATTGAATTTAAAGAAATAACGCTCCAGCACTCAGTAATTTCATATGCAATGTGTGTTTTATTCAGCCATCCCAAATGGCAGGCAGCTTGTTATTTGCACTGACTTAATAAAACACACATTACACCTGAAATTACTTTATTTATTAGATTTATTTTTGGATTCTGTCCTTTCTAAAATCATGCCTCACCCCGTTACCCGCCTCACCCTGTTACCCCCCTCACCCCGTTACCCCCCTCACCCCGTTACCCCCCGGCTGTAGTCTACACTATAGCCAATCAACAGTTTAGTAGATCTTTCCCCTTTACAAATTTTCTCATCTCCAAATTAATTTCATCTAACCATTAGCTTTTTGCCTAGAAATTCCGTACCCATAGAGAGAGATTCTACTGGGGATTTGGCGTTTTTATTATTTTAGTTCCCCACGTAATGATTATACTCAGCAAACAGATAAAACTGCTGTTCAAGTGTTTCATTTTGACAAAGAAAAATAAAGCCTAACAAGTAACTGACTACACAGCCAACTGGATAATCTGTTGCTAAATTGTGTCTATTTCCTCACACCCTATTTGAAGTTTAGTATATTCCAAACAATGACCTTATTTTTGTTCAAATACCATATTAGGGATCTCTCAATAAGGATTTCCCTTACTTTTCATTCATGTCCTTGGAGCAGGGACCTTAACTCATGGCACAGGTACCAAACAAATTGGAGCTTCTATGGTGCCCATCCTATGTACCTAGTTTCAGGGGAATATTGAAAACACATATGTTTATGGCTTCTTCTTTTTTTTTTTTTTTTAAATAGTAAACCTTATAAACAATTCATGGAGAATGATGATGTTCCATGACAAGGCCCCATAAACGGTATATTTAACCAGAGTATTTATAGGGCAAAGGTAAAAAAAAGATTTCAAGATAGAGAACATGACTCTCAGTAATTTTCTTCCCTCTGCACACACAGTTTTTAACCTTTCGCCATGCATTCGTGGTCCATAATAATTTCACATGTCCTTACAAATTATTTACACATTTGAAGTGAAATGAATAATTTTTTATTTTACAAAATGGTTAGAAAATGACATTTGTTGGTAAAATAATCCAGATAATATTAGGTAAGTGTAGGTTTAAGTCAAAACGATGGCATTGGTTACATAGTTCTGCACAGACAATATAAGCAAATCCACTAGTTGATATTACCTCCAGAAAGGAAAAAGATAAAAATATTCTACGAGAGTTTAAGTTGTGTGTGCGCACCTACCTTGGCAGTCATTAAAATTGCCTCAGTGATATTGTCATCTAATTGGTCTAAACTTTAAGAATTTGATTAAAGATTTTCAATATAAATGAAATGTCATAATTTTAATGTATGTTTGATGCATATTAGGGAATTTGTATTATTATAATTGCTAATTAATTGAGAATATTCTGTATTTGTAAAACAGAACATGGAAATAACATGGAACAATTCTTACGTGTAATAATAAAAACAAACATTCTATAAATACAAATACTTACCTGTAACAAAGAGTTTAGTTCCTGAGCCAAATACTTTTATACCTTAACCATCCACTAGATTTGCATAATATGATTATATGACCCTTAACACAATTCTGTCTAGATAAATCAAATACGTACCTAAAATACATAGACTTGAGCAATACACAATACCCCAATGCACACACATACTGCAGCTGTTTATAACATGGATATAATTAACTCTTATTAACATTGTTAGGACACACACTAGATCTCCATGTAGCTGAGAGGCTAATCATGTCAAAATTATAGGTCAGTGGTTAAGCACATGAGTTTATTTAAAAACAACCCAACAAGTCATGGGATCAGTCAAATTCAGATGATAGAGTCTTGTGTCCCACCATCTATAAACTTCACCATCCACCACTGGTGCAAACCACTTCTTCGTCATTATCAGGGGGTCAAAGGGGTGCATTTTGTTACAGCATAAGAACATTCAAACTAGAAATTCCCATCTTCAACAAGCAACCTGGCTCAGTTTCACGTGTTGATGTATAATGAATAGTTGACAAACTATTTTAATAGATAGAAGTGACTTGAACTAATTGAGTCTCTTTCAAACAAACTGATTTCAGTGAAGACTCAACTTGGAAAATTTTGCACAATTCTCTGTTGTAGTTTTTAAAAAATGCTGCCACATCTGACCTTATTACTAATTTCATATATTATGTGAAATGTGTGGCATTTCACCCAATTATATCCTTTAAATTCAATCACATAATGCTAAACAAATTAAAATCGTAATTTTTTTCAGTATGATTTAATATATTATGTAGATGGAATAGCTATATTTTAATCATGCAGTTAATTGGAATAAATATTTATTCTTTAATCAGTCTTCTTTAAAATGTTATATAAAAGAAATAATTAGATTTGCATTATATGATTATGATATAAGGCTTACAACAATTCTTCCTAGATAAATCAAATACTTACCTAAAATACATATTTAAATTTAGTAAAATATGTAACTAAATATTAAGGTACTTACTTGTGATAGTGAGTTTAGTCCCAGAGCCAAATACTTTTCTATACCAATATGAACCAGTATTTACACTGTAAATTAAGCAATGCTGAAAACCCCAAAACACAGCTGTGAGCACTCTTTGCATTATGCATTACATTATTTATTGCTAAGATTTCAAATTCTAAATGTAAAACCAAAACCGTTAAACCTAAAACACAGATGAGATGGATATCAATAGAAATTTAACTATTTTCACCTAAAACTTTGACATTTTCTTTGAATTCCTGACAATTTACAGTTATAATTGTAATGGCGGTTTTGTGCATTATTTGGGAAACATTATTTGAGATGGCTTAATAAACCATACATTGCACCTGAAAATACCAAGTGCTGGAACTTTATTTTTTCAATTACGTTTGGATCCTTGGAGCATGGACCTTTACTTAAATGGTGCCCCTCCTATGTACCTAGTTTTTTGTTTTTAGAAATATTGAAAACACACCTATCTTGGCTTCTTTTTTACTAACTTAAAATCTTAATTTTTTTTTCATTTAAGAAGAAAAAATAGAAAAAAAACTGTTTAAAAATCATATTTTCTGTTATAGCTGAAAAAAAATGCTGCATCATCTGACCATATCACTATTTTCATATATTATGTGAATATAATAACTGTATATTGTATTCCAATGACATTCATTTCTGTACTGATCAATTATCAAATAGAACATTCTGCAGTTTACCCAATTATATACTTTAAATTCAGCCAAACAAATAAAAATCTTTATTTTTTAGTATGATTTATTACATTATGTGATGGTATAAATATGTTTTAATCATGCAGTTAATTGGAATAAATAGATATAGATAGTTTTAATCATTCTTATTTGAAATGTTATGTAAAATAAATAATTAGATTTGCATTATATGATTATTATATAAGCCTTACAACAATTCTGCCTAGATAAATGAAATACTTACCTAAAATACATATTTAAATTTAGTAAAATATGTAACTAAATATTAAGGTACTTACTTGTGATAGTGAGTTTAGTCCCAGAGCCAAATAGTATATACCAATATGTATCAGTATCTACACTGTGAATTAAGCAATGCTAAATACCCCAAAACACAGTTGTGAAAGCTATCATCGTTATGCACGAAATTGTTTATTTCTGAGAATTCAAATTTTAAATGTAAGACAAAAACTGCTAAACCTAAAACATAAATGACATGGATATTTAGAGCAATTGAACTAGTTTCACCTAAAACTTTGAAATTCCCTCTGACATCCTAACAATTCACATTTTAGTGAATAATCTTGTGTGGTTATAATTGTAATTGTGGTTTGGTGCTAGAAGTTTGGGAAATATTGAATTTAAAGAAATAACGCTCCAGCACTCAGTAATTTCATATGCAATGTGTCTTTTATTTAGCCATTTACCCAAATGGCAGGCCGTTATTTGGAATGGCTTAATAAAACATATATTGCAAGCATACATATAAGTTTTATGTTTGTCTTGTTTTGTTTTCATTTATTGAATGTATATTGTGATATTTAAAAAAAATACAGTTAAAAAAAAAGAAAAAACATACATTGCAGATGACATTACTTAGTGTTGGAGCTTTACCTATTTGATTTACTTTTGAATCTGTGGAGCATGGACCTTAACTCATGGCACAGGTACCAAAAATCTTGGAGCTTCAATGGTGCCCCTCGTACATACGTAATTTTTGGAAATTATTGAAAACATACTTAACTTGGCTTCTTTTTTACTAAATCTAAACAATATAAACACATTATGGAGAGTGATGTTGTTTCATGATAAGGCCCCATAAACTTGGTATATTTAACTATTGTGTTTATAGGGTAAAGGTAAAAAAAAGATTTCAAGAATGGGAATATGTCTGTCGGTAATTGAATTCCATCTGCACACACAGTTTTTAACCATTTCATCCTGCGTTTGTAGTCCCTAATCAATTTATATATCCTTACAAATTTTTTACATTTTTGAGCTGAAATAAATAATTTTTTTTCTTTTACAAAATGGTTTGAAAATTACATTTGAGGGTAAAATAATCAAGATAATATTAGGTAAGTGTAGGTTTAAGTCAAAACGAGGACATTGGTTACGTAGTTCAGCACGGACAACATAATCATAAAGTTGCATTTTGCATATTGGATATTAGTTGATATTACCTCCAGAAAGGAAAAGATA